AAGCGAAGGAACACCTAACACACACACGGTGAGCGAACGATAGAGGAAACAAATTAGAAGAGGTTAGGCGTGTACATCACGCGGTAAATATGCCCCCTAACATGAACACAGATCCTTCATCCTTTACATCCTGTACCAGCCCCTACGACCCCTCCTATGTGCTTAACCACTGCTTACAGAGGCATATCTTCTATTTGCCCTACACTTCTAATCTATTCAAGGGACGTGTGGATTTCCGGCTGGAGCTTTTGCCGCAAAATATTCATCAGCTTATGCTTTCTCAGTACCTCTCGTATTCTCATCACCAGAGTTCACGTGTTCGCATAAATCAACCATAATCAATATAAGTTCTTATATCTCGTCATAAGCGAGTCATCGTTCTATTTCACTGATACTCATTATTCGTATTTTTTTTTTATTTCCATTATGATTACTAGTAATAATCAACATCGTAAGACATACCATCGCCGTGCGTAATTGTGCTTTACCATTTTGTTATTTCACCTACGAAGTATTTCTGTTTTTAAGCTGTTTCCGCTCTGATGTCATCCTTACTCTCGTGTTAATATTAGATTTATTATATTTTTATAATGGCCAAGCAGTGTGGGTTATCTTCATCTGCTATGCTTTCGTACCGCACCATCTCGACTGACAAATAGCCGTAATCTACTTTCTCACAGCCGTTTGTCGTTTGTATTGTTTTCTGTTTATTACTCGTAATATAATTAAATCATACACGAGAAGTCTGTTGGCGTCCGGCTGCTTGTTTGTATATAATAACAATCGACTGACATACAGTCGTTTGTACGCGGCACCGATCTTTAACACGAAAGGCGCTTGGAGCTGGCGAGAGCTGTGCATCAAAAAATCAATGTTCATATAAGAGGGTAGTAACTGTTTATAAAAACGTCTGTTGCCGGCACGCGAGGGGCGAATTTTTCCGCAAAATCCGCAATTACTTACTCGACAGAAACTTTGATTTCATCTTAATCGATTTCTATTAAAAAAAAAAACGCGACAAAATTTACTGCTAAGAAAATATCTAAATGGTTTAGCAGACATTTCTGTGGGTGAGATGTAGCTAGTCGCGAGGCTAACTCCAAATCCTTAACACCGTGGTTTTATTCAATCTTGTTATGATATAAAACCAGTGCCACTTAGTTTTCTGTGAGTGTCTTTCTAACCGGAAGTTATGTTTGTTACATTACTATGTTCTATGACACTTATTCTTTTGTCGTGCTTTGCCCGTCGTTCTCATGCCCACCACTTCATTTCTGCTGTCTCGTTTTTGTCTCGCGCTGCTGGTTTTCTTCCTCTAATTGCTTCTTTTTCGGTACGATAATTACGATGTATTGTATAGCCACGTATAACTATAACCGCCTTTTACAGGCACGATGGAAGTTCACATTTAGACTAAACTTGATGAGAACTTATCGGTATCTTTGTTTGAATCAATCTCAATTTATTTTTCAAACATCATTTTTCATGAACTCAGGAAAGGTATACTCGCCCGGTTGTCGGCGGTATCGTGTTTCCGAAGTTTTTATTGAAAGCAGCTTGTCGTAACGATATGTTCCATAAATTAATTAGTAATAATAATAATTAATTATATATATTAAGTAATTAATAATATTAGTGATGATGAACAGTAATATTGATAGTTAATGATCATGGTAATAACAATGATAATGATATTAAGAGGCCAGCATGAAAATGCGTACCGTACTAATGATGAGGATGACGAAGATGACGACGACAAGGGCGGCTTCCTTCGTTGACAATGAAGGAAATAAGGCAAAAACGAGAAGCTGGAAAGGGAGCTTCGGTATGTGCGTGAGATCTCTTGTAACAAATATATGATAACGACAGTACTGAGTGTCTCTTTAACATTCGCAATTATATAAGGAAAAAGGAGATTTAACGGTGACGCCTACGCTGCAGCAAACAATTTGGGTCAATTGATAATGGCTGTTACGATGGCGGCGATAATGATGACAATGATTAATGCTGAAAGTAAGAGGAAACGATTAATATTGAAGAGAAACGAGCGAGAGAAAAGAACGGAGCAAGAGGAAACTGTTCGCGTGGTTTGCTCAGCAAGTAGAGACACATCGTCCGTGGGAACCGAACAACGTGGGGTGTACCTAGATGGGAATGCTGCGGGAAAAAATGTCCCCAAGTGCTACTGTTGAACGGCAGACGAACAATATCGCAAATGAAATCCAGCCAATGGAGATCCAAGTCAGTTCGATGGGAAGAATAAGAAAAAGCCGATAATCATATATTCGTATTTAATAAATGACCTAAACGAAATGGAAAAACGTCTAAAAACTATACACACGAAAGCACAAATACTACTATGGCGGAAAAATCTACAAAAATAGCATTCGGATAGCACGTTCCGGGAAAGGTAAACGCTATGACGAAAATGTGTGAAGAAATATCTCCTTCTGCGTTACTGCACGACTCGTGATTAAGATCTGTGTGCGATTTTAAGACGTAGGCGCTGGCCGGTCAGAAAGCTTGCCCATTTACGGAAAAATGTAACTCTATATCAGATAGTGCCAGATCGAGACTACTGCGCGCAGTTGTTCGTGTGGTTACACTGAACGTTATCCTAGCACAATGAAAAGCTCCACGGGTATGCAAAATCCGTCTTGCCGTCACGCTAGTGACGCAATAGTAATATCCTAGTAATGGTCCTTGTAATGTTTATTTTTCAGCCAAGATTCAATATACGTATGACATTCGTCGATCGCCTTCAACATCATTAAGTAAAAAACGGCGACGTTTTGTTATCACTACTTTACAGAATACGTATCTGTTGTTTTTTTGCGTAGGATATTCGCGAGTAGTATGTAAAACGTGAATTTAGTGGCACTGGGAGAAGGGTGTTGTTGATATCGAAACAGGGGACGTGGTAAATTTCGCTTCGCTTCCTGATATAAGACTCGCGCGATACAATGGCCAGTATCGTACCTTCTTGATCCGCTAATGAATATTTGTGACGCCGATTTTGTGGTCAGATCGCCATAAGGGTCTTTGGAAAGAAGCAAGAGGTTAGCAGTGTTCAACATCTAGAGCTTGTCAAAACGCTGCGGTCAAACCAGGGGCGTTGGCTTCGTCCTTGGACTAATATCCAGTCGCATCCTGCACCTTCATATTATCGATCATCTGTTAATATTTTCCTATCGTTGCTCATCGATATCGTTTATATTATTACTATATAGTATAGTACTATCTATGTCCACGACATTTTCACGTGCTTCACCATTTATGCGACATCTGTGAGCCTATCAGTTGGCAATAACAACAGTAACGGCAGTAACGTGAATCGACTTCATTCCATCAGAAAACTGGGACATGGCTTCGTCGTGGTCTGTTATGTGCGGCTGATGCTTGAACGAAACTCGAATGGTGGCGCTGCATTTTCACACGGCCGTCCATTTTATTTGCTCGCTTCTTATAAGCCTGTTTCCTTGAGCTTGTGCACTGTGTAGTAGATGAAGCCTACGCCCCTGGAATGGCCGCGCTATTTCGACACGCTCTCGATTAACTTCTTGCTAGGACCCTTATGGCATGCGACGAAATCGGCGTCAAACATTCATTAGCGTTTAGCGTCTAAATTAATAATGATAACCATTACCTTATAAAGCTAATGATCTACCGCATTTTTGCACAAAATACTCAAAGGCGCTGAACGAATGTCATGAGGATATTGAATTTTCACTGAAAAATCAAGAACCATTACTGCCGTTACTAGATACTACTACTGCGTCACCATAGATACCACGTTGCTCGTGATGAGCGTGATATTTATTATGATTAACTAAGTCCGACACAAGCTCGTATTTTCTGGCAAACTCACAAATTTCTTTCCACACACACCTTAACCAAGGATTGCAAAGGGAGACGTAGAGTATACAGTTGCTTTCCCAAACATTTCCGCCGTAGCGTGTATCTTTCTCGTAGTACTGTAGAAATGTTTATAGGATTTTCGCCCTTAGTTGTTTTTGTACTTTCGTGTATATAGCTTCTAGACGCTTTTCCATTTCATTTAGGTCATTTATTAAATACAAGTTTACGATTATCGGCATTTTCTTATTTTTCATATCGAATTGACCTGGATCTCCAATGGCTAGATCTTATTTGCGACATTGCTCGTACGGTGTTCAACAGTAGCACTTTACTTCAACTATTTTTTCCCGCAGCATTCCCATCTAGCTATATCCCACGTTATTCTGTTCCCCCGGTCCCTACTTGCCGGAAAAACCGCGCAAACAGTTTTCTCCCGCTCCTTTCTTTTCTCTCGCTCGTTTCTTTCAATATTTGAAACATCATCATCATCGCCATCGTAGTAGTAATTATCAGTTGACCCAATTTGTTTGCTGCAGCATAGGCGGCACTATTAAATCTTTTTCCTTATGTAATTGTGAGCGTTAAAGGGATCTGCTCAGTCGTTATCATCGTCTATTTTCTTTTATATATTTTACATAAAAATATATGTATTTGTATATGAGAGATACAGGCACAAAAGTCTTTGCGGTCACGCTCATTCCGCTCCCCATTTTTGCCTTATTTCCTTCATTGTCAATGAAGGAAGCCGCCCTTGTCGTCGTCATCTTCGTCATCGTCATCATTAGTACAATACGTATTTTCATGCTGTGCTTTTATTATATCATTATCATTGTTATTACCATAATCATTATTAATTAATATAATTATTATTGTTCATCATCACTAATATGACGGCGGCGGTTAGGTGTCTGCATCGGCGACATTGCGATGAAAAACAGACTCGTAGAAGACGTAGAACACAGCGGCCGTCTTTGCTGCTACGTCTCATCAAAAAATGAATAACTTTTTTCTAGCTCAGTTTTGTGTTTATATATGTATCTGTGTGAGTCTGTCAGTCAATACATAGCGGACCCTCTCTCTGATCTAAACAACCCTCCCTCCCGCCCGCCCTTCGGACAGACCGTTGCCAACCGCCCGCGACAAAGCACGACTTCGCGCAGTCGTTTGTCCATGGAACCGCCTTCATTTAATCGCATCATCATCATCTATATTCCTCCATCATCATATTTACTGTTATCATCTCTTATCAGTGTTAATCATTAGCATTATATAATTAGTTCTTCTCCTGTTTCCTTTCACCATCTTAATAAGATGATGAAGGGAATATATATATACATATATATATATATATATATATACATATATATCCATATATATATATATATATCCATCGACTTATGTCTTCGTAGATATTCATTTCTATATATTGTGCTTCACATGCCGGGCTCCATCACTCCCATCTGTCGTTGCTGTTGCTGTGGTCGTTGACGGCTGTAAGACTCAGCTGTAGCTGCTCCATCACCGTAAATAGCGGAGACAGTCGCAACAATTGCAATCCGTCTTCAGGCTTTCCCGCTATATTGTGATTGTGATTCTTTGGAGCACCGATACACGACACTGGTTACTCGCAGCGGACATTGCTCACACACATTTGAATCGAGCGCTGGGGTCTCGCTTCGGCCTTCTAGTCTTCTCCTAACCACGACAGAAACCCGCTGGCGTTCTGGACCGTAACGTGGTAACCCGTCTGTTCGTGTCGTGTCCTATCTGGCTTCGCCCAGTCCTTGATCACGTCTTCAGAGACGAGGTCTTTGTCATATAGCCAGTTAATGAAATTCGACGTTGCCTCTGTTAAAAGGTACAAACAAATCCGATGATTAACGACAAATGTAGTCAATTGGTGAAAAGCTGGAACCATGATTATAGACGAGGTTTTTTTGTTTTTATTATGATTATTAGTATTATAACGAAACGATTATTATTTGCTGTATGCATTGTTGACATGTAGAACGTTTCCGTTTCCACTATGTGATTTAGTGCATATATAGAAAATGATTTATACTGTTACACGGAACACAAGGATAAATGACAGCTAAATAGAATGAGATCCGCGGTAACCTGAAAATGTCTTTCTTTCCTTTTGAAGTTGCGTTGAAAAATCTCATATAGGCTCGGGCTAGTGTTAACTGAATTTCTACTTGTTGCGCTTACCCTTAGGATGTTCTCTCTCGTGCATGACGATCTGTAGGGCATACAATGCTTGAATGGATGCCTCATCGTCATTAAATAGATCTTCAATGGGTTTCGGCATATTTTTACCTGCTGCATCTACGTGTAATTTCTGTTCGATCAATTTGAGGTCCATTACAAACTCTTTCCCAGACGTGCTACTATTTTCCTTTAGTAGGAGCCCAATATTTAGCAATACAGTTGCGAAGGCCTGTACAGCCAGTTTTCGCTGCTCTTTTCCTGCCTGGTGCACCACGTCTTTCAAAGCGTGCTCTAAATCCCCCGCACTCTTTGACGTGTCTAACGCTGATCGGAAACGCTGACAGAGCTCTTGTAATGTTAGACCCAAGCCAGGGCTAATTGATGCCACTTGTCCAAGAGCAGCTTCTATTGCCTTAATCTCTATTTCGGGAAGGCCGTTTACGAGTTCGGACAAGTTAATCCCTGACTCCTTCCATTTCTTAGAAACGCCGTCTGGAATTTTTAATTGAAATTTAATTTAAACTTCAATATTTTACGTAGGAGATCCATTCCAAAAACTTTTGTAGAACAAAATTGCTCTTTCCTTAATTGACATAGTTTACTACGTCAGTCTAATAGACACCAAATACATGTTAAGAACGTGACCTGGAAATACATTTTTACACTGCAAACTTACGAGGTTAGTGAGTGGTTAGCATTTTCAGTAGTATAGGAGAACTGTGTAAATACTAACCGCTACTGATTTCGTTGATTCGCTTGAACAGTGACACGAGCATCTTCGAGGTGTTCAAAGGAACGAGGGCTGCTTTAACTGCACGTAGCAGAGCGCTGAAGTTCATACCATCCGCAACAAAAAGTGGGGCCATGATTTCCGCCATACACTCGTAGTATTTCGGAATATCAATGACCATATCCTCCGCCATTGAGAGCTGTTCTTTGAGAGCATTCTCAATATGTTTCTGGCTAACGATGTGAGCATCGTGTAACTCCCGTATTGCTTCACCAGCACGAACTCTTTGCAGTGTCTTTGCCTCGATAGACATCTCGATAAAGTACTCGATGAAGCGGTGCACATTGTTCGCATGGGCGCGTTCACAAAAGTCCTTGAGCATATCCTCGCGATTGCCATTGGTAGCATATTCCAGGAGAATGGTCTCCGCGTAGCGGCGCACATTATCATCATTGGACTCGGTGCCCTGCAGCGAATGAGTTCCTTCGCCGACGGCGCCTGGCTGCCCACCACTCAGGCCACCCCCTTGACTGGCGTTACGGCTTGCGGGCGCGGAACCGCGTGCACCACCTGGACGCCCGTTGCCGCTGCTGCCGGCAGTCGCATTGGCCAGGCCTATTTTACGCACGCCTTGCAAGGCAGCTTCGCGCTCGCGCTGTCGTGACGGTGAACTCTCCTGGGAGCGCGCTGGGTGCTGAAATTGGTGTAAATATTGTATTTAATTAAAAATTAAGATTATTGCCTGCCATTGCGACCACAAAACAAATGATAATACTGATCTACCGGGCAGAAATACAATTGACCATGCGCAGTTAAGCTTGTTTTTTGAATACAAACATTGTTCTTATTGTCTTCTATGTGTATCTTATTGTCACACACGGAAGTGTTCACTAGCATTTTCTCAAGTTTAGTGCAAAAATGCGTCTCCTTACGTCAGAGCCATCGCGGTTGAGCAAATCAAACTTATTCGTTGAGGTCACGAGAGGCGTGTCATCTGCGCGATTGCCCCTGAGGCTGGAGTTCCGACTTCCGCCTCCGCTTGCTCCACTAACCCATTGCGAGCCCGATGGGCGACTCATCGTCGGTTGTAAAGACATTGATAGCGTCATTCCTTTGAATGCTACCTGCAATTGTTAGACCACGCTTATAAATACTTACCCGGATACGTTACGTATATAAAACAACAATAGTTCCCAAAAATATGCCTGTTTTATAAACAGTGCAAGTTTTGACTTTAACCACGATGAAAATAACTTACGGATTCCATCATTTGCTTTGTGTGCTTGAAGTCGGTGCCTCTAGGCGAACTGGCGTTCTGCGACTGGCTGCCGAAGGAACGACGGTTGCGGTCACTCTGTATCGATGAGTAGCGACTGCCGCCACCTCCGGCAGACGGACCACCTGCATTAATGGTTGCAAGAAGCTTCTCGTTTTCGGCATCCTTCTGAATTTGTTCCAAAGTTTTTGGAGCCTGCTCATTTCGGCGAGGTACCCAGCCGCGTTCTTTGAGTTCTCGAACATCTTCCAGCATGAATATCACACGCTGTGGTAGACTTCTTTGATTATTCTTCTGGGCATCACGATTATCGCTAATTATCTTCTTAAGATTTAGCATTAAATTCTGAAACACTGAATTGAAAACTTTTGGTCAATTAGGTTCAATAATTCCATCATAAAGCAGTGCACTTGCATGTCGAAAAATGTCGAAAAACAACAGGACACCGAAGCTAAGGAACTTCCATCCAACGCTTGAATGAATTCTTATTTGTAATATAAATAATTCGAAAAGCTAAATCACTACGTAGAAGAATAGTCCAAATGCCGGCGTTAGACATCACTACTAAGTGAGCTACCATTGTTGTTATGCTTGAAGTTGGTCTTTCATTTCCACTTACGTGTGTGCTTTTCTTTAAGTTCAGGCGTATCCTGGGGTCCGTTTCGTAACGTACTTTCGTCCGCTAGCTTTTTGCCCACTGTCGTAAAGAGTTTGCAGGCGCATACTATTGAGTCTTCATCAGTAGGGTACTTCATGAGTTTTCGGAAACAGTCACTCATAATATTGAAATTAAGAATGTTCAGATTATAGAGTTCGCCAATGAAACGCATTAATCCGAGCGTTCGCCGCTTCGCCTTGGCGTCAGCTTCAGTGTACTTCTCCTGAATTTCCTTGCGCTCTTGCTCATTTTTTGCGGCGTCGAGTTCACTCTGTCGCTTCTCTTGTTCCTTCTTCTCTCGTTCTTTACTAGCGGGAGAGTCGTCAGTATCTTTCTCGAATTCCTGCTGGCACTTTTGCAATAGCATCTTGCGGAAAGTAACGGTATGATTCATTGCCGGTCCCGGGTCGCGTTGAACTTTCGGTACCGTGAATGTTGTTAGCAGGGTATGGCATAGCCTGGCGTACGTTGAGGCAAAATGCGTCTCATTGAGAGCCTTTTCTAACACGAGTCCGGCGACGTTGGACAGACGTTCCTCCGAGTTAATTTCTAGTTTTTTTACTTGGTCAAGCAGTGTGTCAAAGCGCTGCGGGGTAAGCTTGTTTAAAATACCTCGGAATTTCTTGTAAAGCAGATCATCGGATTCGCCACTCGCGATACCGACTTCCTTAAACGGCTTCCAAGCCTTCTCAGCAGTGTGCAGTTTCACGTCCTGGTTTATCGATGAACTCAACGTGATAATCCTCTTCGGTCGCTCTCCCGCACGAGTCTGTGCACCCTTTGTGTTGCGATTCATGGAACTCCCGGGAGCACCACCTCGACCTAGATAAAAATTCATAAGACCGAAAACAAGCGTAGTTCACATGAATGCAGTCTATTAAAAAAAAACCTATACCACGCTATCAGTAAAATCGCTTATACAAGTAGACGAGGAATCATCATTGCGCATTGTAAACTTACCGTTTCTTAGACCGTACTGGTCGACAACACCGGTAGGACCCCCGCGCGGTTTGTCCGATAGCGTATGGCAGATTGCGTTACTCCTGAAAATCTCAAGCTTGGGCATGTCCTTCGGAGGCTGCATCGACATTGGTTGGCGTTGTAGTTTTAACAAAAATTCGCGGTCATACCTCTTCTTGCCGTTGTTGTCCGGTACGGGACTGTACTCATCATTGTGGTTATCGACTTCGGCGAGTTCCGCGTCAGACTCATCCGAAACCACTTCTCCCAATTCGAGTTCATCCTCCTGCCGGGAATTGGCGTCGTCGGTGTCATTTTTGACCACCTCTTCCTTACTGCTAGCTGAACCGGAGTCGTTACTGGTTGTCGAGTCTTCTGATGGATTCTTGTGACTGGTAGCTGCGACTGCGGCAGGTGTCACCTTTTCACTCCGTTTCAGTTCCGCGGCTCCTTTGCAATCTAAGCTGACATTCGTCTGTTCTTCGCCAACAACTTCAGACGACGGCATCGACTGTTCTATTTCTGACAACTGTTGAGAGTTCTGCAGCTCTTTTGCTTCTTGACTCTTGCGGAGGTTTTCCTCATTCTTTACTTCAACCTTGCGTCGTTCCTCATCTTCCTCCCTTTGAAGAGAAGACCGCGAACCTTGCTCTCGGTCGCCGGTCGCGGCGCTTTCTGACACTTCCGAGGACTCGTTAACGGCCTCCTCGTTCGACTCCATTTCCGCTGGATCGGTGGGAGAAACTGAAGCTACATGAGTAGAAAACAGAACGAACAGTAGTTTGTTAGATTTCGTTTATAGCAGGTACCCAGCCTTCGGTTTGCCTACATGAAAATATTGATCACAAAAGACCAAAAACTAGGAATTTTAGGACAAGGACATCTAAGATGTAAGATATTTATGTTACACTATAATTAGAATTAAAAACAGCATGCGTAGAAGGAAATACTAGCATAACAAGTTTGAAAAAACGTAGCATCAGTTGTCACCTCCTATTAAGCTCTGAAAGCGGGCCTCGTGTTTTGTTTTAATTGATGTTCAATTAACAATAAACAAAGTCGTCACTCAATCAGTAAGACCTAGTTACTTTCTAGAGCGTACCACAATCGATTACAGAAGTCGAATCCAGTATTTACATACAAGTTACATACACAAACACACGTCAACACCGCCACCAAAATAGTTGGCGCACAAAAAAGCAACAAAAGAAAAATAGACGCGTAAAGCTAAAAGCCGGAAAGGTGGTAAGGCTCAGTGAGTTTCAACAATTTTCTACGATCACAGAGCACGTTGACGCTACCAATATCCGAACACTGATACATCCCGCACATTTCAATGGTCACCGCCTCTCACAGAGCAGAGAAGGGTGTATAGAAGATATCGTCATAATTAATTATACGTCAAAAAGTAGGGGCTCACAGAAGCAGTTACTATCGAAGAAACATTTGAGAGCTAAGACAATTAACGATCGCAAGAAAGAATAAACTATCGGTCCATGCAGTCGGCACAATCGAAGGAAGGGCCATGAACCCGAACTAACCCGAAGACCACCTGCTTTTACTGCATACCTCGTACAGCAGCTGCTACTTTTGACGATTTTGCTCCTTTGGGTAAATTTAAGCGGATGACAACACCTAGTCCCAAATTTCGCCTACCAATGTCGTCGCTGTCGTTACATTCAGTATCGCTATTATAGTTCGCGTAATCCGCCCTCCCATAGGCGTTACTCGAGTCGTTTTCCTTACTGCTATTATTATTATTATTATTAATGTTACTATTATAGTTAAGTCGCCACTTCTGTGCCCCTTTTCATTGTTGGTGTTATTGCCAATCTTAATATTACCATTGACGCTTATGTTGTTGCGGTTTCGTTGATTGCGCGCTTGCTCTCTATTCAGGGTCCCGGCGCTTCCACTGGGTGAACAGGGGGTATCGTTGCAGCTGCTGCACCTGCTGCTGTCGATTTTATCGTTGCAGGTGCAGAAATTGTACTCAATGACAACTTCATTATGATGAGCATTGTTGGTAACATTTTTTTCACAAGGAGTGCCTTGTCGACCCACATCCTTCTCCTTGGGATTGTAAATACTTATTTCGAAATCAGTTTTTGGATAACTATGACGACCATTCGGAACGGTGCTAATTTCGTTGCTGCCATTATTGGCACCGCTGTGGTTACCATTCGTATATTGACTGTTAAACCCATGTACAGGAGGGATGGGCGAAGACAAGTTCCTCTCAGCGTGGCGTTTCTGTTCGTTGGCCAACGAAGTCATTTTTAAGTTGGGCTTTCCTTTGACTTTGCCGGGTCTCACTGCAATAGGATCATTACTTTCTCGTTCAAACATCAATCGGTTAAAGCTAGTGGCTAAGAATTTTCTCCGAAACCCATGCACACTATACTTCTATAAACTTCGGAGCAATAATACTATTGCAGCGCGTTTGAGAACTATTCTCTGATCAGACAGGTTGTCGCTGATAATGCCTGCCCTTGTAAAAGAATCCAAACCGTCAACCGATTGCCGCTTTCAATAAAGCTGCTGAATTGTGCCTACAATACAAAACCGCGCCAAATGTAATTGAAAACACTTGAAAATGAGATACCAATTATCGCCCATGTGAAATAGCTATCAAGAACTGAGCAAATGACAATGCTACAGCTTGTAGAACGGTATTTCCGCGTCTATAGCCTGAAATCATTGCATGCACCGCAGTACGATTCTGGTTCACGACGACGCATTGGACGCACTACTAAAGGCCCGGTAGACACAATGTTGCAGGGAGAAATTTCCCGTCCGTATCATCTAATTGGAAAGCCGACCTACACGCTTAGTGTAAGCGTGGCAAAAAATAATTTCACAAAATTTAAAACCTAGAATCCAGAACAAAGTCCATCTTGCGCCTCTTACCATCTTGGTGTTGTGTCACTGCGCTGACTGCCTTGTCTTGTATATTATTTTTATGGGGAGAACTGCGGAGCAATCCTTTACCCACACCATTGTTGAGTATACCAGAAAGCACTTGGTTATCGCAACAGTTAGCGGTCACATCATCAGATATCATATTGAAACAGCCATTTACAGCCAGCAGTGGTGGCGGTGGCGGCACTAGAAAGTGGCCGTTGTCTTTCAGCTTTCCGGAATAATGCTGCTGATCCAATCCTCCATTAAGAGGTAAAGCCGAAGTAGCAGACACCCCCGGCACACTCCGACCATCGCTCTTTCGACTCCGTCGGAGGGCGGCCTTTTTTTTGAGTCGCTTCCTTCGAGCATCCATCTTAAACTATTGCATCGACTCACTGAATTATCGAAGTCCACTGGCTTCTGCAGTCAGTCTAAAAAAAAGTAGCTAGCCTTGCATTTCCGCAATCAATCCAATCGCACAAAGTCGAAATTAGGAAACGACAGCACGTGCCAACGCTGGTACGTTCACCATTCATTTGTCAATACTGGTTGATTTCACTAGATGATACATATACATATATCATGTATATATATATATATATATATATATATATATATATATATATACCAACAGATTCTGAAATTCGCTATCTCTGAGTAGTCAGTACAGCAACCACTAGTATTGTCGCTGAAAGAATTGCAATCGCATTGGCGTCGGCTCCGCTTGCCACCTACGTTTTTTTTTAACACGCACAAAAACACGCGCACCACCCTATGCATCACTACCGCAACGACCTGTAATTCGCAACTATAGTAATTCGCAATTTTCCGCACTGGACGGAAGCTGTACTGCTTAGTTCACGAACATCGCGACTAAGCGAACCTCGCGTTGTATGGCGTTATTTTTTAAGCTTTCAAGCTTCCCTCAAGGAAGCCTCCGTCTAACAGCAAAGCTTAGTGTTCACACATTGAGTTATCAATGACTATTATAGTGTGAACAAGGGTCACCCGCTGCAGCTTACGAACGGCACGATCAACCCTTAGTCCTGCTGTCGATGCAGAAACATAGTCAGATAGGATTACTGCGGGCCGCTGCAGTACGGCGTAGCCGACATCGGCACGGCGCAGCCGATTGTCCGCCGACATCCACGTCGACCTCACATGTTGACCAGGCGAAAACGTACAGTCGTATTAGGGTTCACATGTCCAACAATGGCCTAATCCGAGTCCACCAGGCTGTACTAGATGCCAATCGTTTCGTTCTCAATGACCAGGATACTTGCTTGGCGACTTCCGCGAGACTCGTACCGACTGCATTGCAGAAGTAGTCACTGAAGATCGCCATGCGTATAGTAGTATGTACGAAGTCCACTTTTGGGGTAACTGATGCAATTTTTCATCAGGAATTGACTAGACAGTGAGAAGTGCAGTATTTTGCTTTTCATCCTTCTTTCGCCGACGCTGTTTCTTCTCGGCTGTTCTTTTTTTGCTTTTCTTCATTTCACCGCAACCGTTTCAAGTAATAGTAACAAGCACACATAAATAACACAACAAAACGCCGCTCTGGAAGGAGGGTTAGGAGAAACTAAGCTGCACGGTAATCTGGCTGTTATTCGACCGAAGGCATTCACGCTTCGGCTCATGCTGCACGCCTGCCTCTCCACAGCCGCCGTCTAAGTATACCTGTGTAGCGTGTACACGGCACCAGAACTCCCGGCTTATGGCTATCGGTTGGGGAGAGAGCCTACCGGCTATAGCCACCGCTACACAACTTACGGCCTGCCTGCCTGCCTGCCTACCGACCAAACCATGTGCCTGCAACAGCATACGCAATCGCTCGTACCCTGCCATAGAATGCATCTGAATGCCTCGCTGCTATTACTATTGCTGCCAATGCTGTTAACTGCTACTAGAAATGCCAGCCTATCCGGAAAGAAACCAGCGGAAAGATCTTTCTACCCAGCGCTCACGTTAGCTGTAGACAGACACTCGAGACAGCCGATTTTTGGCTCAGGGGCCTTGTTTGTGCTTCTGCCTTCCATGCCGTGGTATCAGCAAGCGCCACAAACCAGAAGCAGCCACACGATACTAGACAAACGCGCATATGACCGCGATACGAGGTTGATGCGCACTCTTGTTGAGGAAGAGATAAAAGCATGAATGAAACCGAACCCGCAAGATGTTTGCTTAGACTCTATACTAAAAATCCTTTATCTTAGCCTGGCCAGCCCTTTGTGTTCAAATTCAAAAACCAGTTAGCTTGTTGTTGCTACCGTCCCCAAAACAGTAAAAAAAGGTTATGAAGCAGCCGCAAGCTGAGTGAATGGCTATGGTTAGCCAATTCCTCAAAATGAAAGGGCACCGTTAGCTGGCACCGTGGGAGGACTCTGCAACGGTGAGCACCAACTCTCTATAACGAATCTGAGAAAATTCTTACGATAACTAATGACTATTTATTAGTACCGTCGCGACAAGGTCAAGCAATCAGTAGGAAATACGTTAAATTAGCTATTCCATTAGTGGTATTCCAACGACAAAGGATAAATATGGAAAGTGAAACGCCAAGCGCCAAACTTGTTCAAAAAGTTTCGCCGAAAATCTAAACCATTGACTTTAATTATCATGCGAGGAGTAAATGACCATGACGTCTCTATTGTTCAGTTTTAGTTCTGCTTAACTAAGGCTGAACAATGCCTGATTTGTGAAACACAACGTTCGTGGTTATGTCCGTCGGTTACGACACGACGGCTAGGACTAACTCCGGGTAAACCCAAAATAGAACGGCGGCATCGCAAGCATGCATCCAGAATGTCGATCAGCCAGTCAGTAGCTACCGCTCAAATGGTCCTAAATTAACCCTGCCATGTTAGACCAAAAAAACATAGTAGGTGTACCTTGCTACCGGGTAACAGTAACACCAATCACCGACTGAAAAAAATAAAATTCTCGAAAAATTGCGGCGGCAATGACCTTTGACAAAGCGCAGAAAAGTCAGGCGAGCTAGCTTGTCTGTGAAGGATCCACTATCTAAATCGACATACCTTCACACAGATGCTTCAGTTCCCTGCCTTTTCATCAATGTTAGCTGATCCATAGCTATCAGGCATATTCAGAATAATTTCATCAACTGATATCCTTCACCCGACATCCATTAAATACTAGTCGCTAACATCATCGCGCACTTTTTGAAACAACAAATACAAATTTAAGAGAAATCATTCACGCCAGTCGTATAGACTGCATTTGCATTACTCCACAATGATTTGCGTTTCACCATTTATGTTAAGAATAAGTTGCATTTTCAATTTAGATGCCCTTCTAAGTCAAGACAACGCCATGGATAGAAGGGCCTTACAAATTAAGGACAGGCATTGTTCGCTTACCTTCACCGGATGGGGTGGAAGATACGGATGACGACGACGCCTGCGTAGCATCACCCGTCTCCCTCTTTGCTGAATGGTCAGGAGTGACCTGCGTCGGTTGTGTAACGACCTGCCCTGGGGTGGGGGAACCCAGCGGCTGTGTTGAAGCGGTATCCTATATGATTGGAATAAAATCACAGCAAAAAAAGGAGAAGAGATTAGCAGTGAGAGGGAGAACTCAAAACAATCACGTAAGCTGAAATTGTGTTTTCTTGCTAAACAACGTAATAGAAAATATGAATGGAAACACTAACGCAAATACTAATTGCAGCTACTAGCTAAGTAGTAATCCTCTCTTACGACAAGACCCTACCCAGCGAGAGCTGATTCATTTTTATGAAAAAGCCTATTTTCAAATGACACCACCGCCATTGGAATCATAACGATAGCTACATTTAATAGAATACTGAATTAGATTATACCAGAATGGAGCGAATCCAAGTTTCGTCTAGGCGAGCTTCAACGGACGTTGAAGACGCTTCGTTATTCTTGGTGACGCTGCGAAGAAACGTCAGTTCTGGTAACAAAAAAAGTACTACTATCGAATGCTACAGATAATCTGTGAGCTGTGGGACATGGTTGCCACCGCTATTTGGTGATCACAATGATAACTACGAAAACAAATGTGAAAGAAGCAACACATGCTGCTAACGTAACGTGCCATGCATATTATTTCGCACTCTTCGTTTATCACGACCTGCATATGCATGAAATAAAATCAGCTGACGCACTTTGGTCCATAGCTTTTGTTTAGTAGTGCATTCATTACAGTGTAGTAGTGCCACAAGCGACTGCTGCTGCCTATGACATAATTGTCTCGTTCGTGGTGTGGTTATAGCAACAATCGTTGTGTCAGACAAACGCACTCACCGTTGCTGCGGGAGTAGGGGCAGAAATCGACGGGGTAGGAGGCCTGCCACCATTGGTACTTGACACAACTCCACCCAAGAGGGGAGCAGGCGGACTTGTCGCGGCCGCGGCCGCTGCCGCGTATCCACCTAACACTGCCGGCGACGTCGGCTGCTGTTGCTGAGGCTGGACCGAGGGCGTCTGCTGCTGAGGTTGCGTTTGTGGTTGCTGTTGGTGTGTTTGAACAACTGCTGGCGGGGGTCCCGAAGATAACGGCTGTTGTTGCTTCGGTTGTAGAGGCACAACTGCGCTTGGTAGTAGTGTCTGTGGTAAACCTTGAGGGACCGCTGGTCGCTGCTGCTGCGCTAGTGGCACCGGCATGACATGACCGGGTCCGGTGGGAACCGGCGCTGATGCTTGCTGCTGTTGTACCGCTGCGGTGATTGACGGCGGCGATGTCGCAGGCGGATGTTGTGAGCCCACCAGGGGCGAGGTTTGTTGTGGCGTGGACTGGGTAGGCGGCTGTTGCTGCTGCTGCGTAGGCGGAACCATCGGGTTAACTGCGACTAAATTCTGTGGGGGAATCTGTGGCGGGATGCCACTAGGGTTCATCAATACCGCAGGAGGGCCTGCAGGTGGCCCAACAGGAGGGACCGTCGCGGGGCCGATAGCGGACTGTGGCGGGCCTGAATTTGATTTCTTGTTTCGATAGTCTAGGTGGACCTCTTCATTTGTTTCGGGGTTCTTGATCTGAAGAATTTTTCGCTCTCGCTGTTGCAAACCTCGCTGTTGCGGCTGTTGCTGTTGTTGCTGCTGTTGTTGATACGCCGCTGCTGCCGTCTGAGCAGTCATCATCGCACCCCCTTGCTGAGCAGCTAGCATTGGTGGCGCCTGAGGTACGCTACTGTAATAATGCGTGTGTTGTCGGGATGTCAACAGCGACACCCGCAACAACAAGAACACATGGAATCGTTACTAAACGGAGTACTTTCAATAAGATGGACCGTTACAATAACCGCCGGATGGGAATTAATGCAAAAAGTAAACTTAGTTCCACCCTAGAGAACAATCGACATGACCATCGGATTTGAAGCTCCTAAAATTTACTCCATTTTTATTCAAAATTATTGCCGTAACTTTAACTATCATAAATAGAACTACTTATCGTAACCGTCATATATAAAAACTGGTCTACCTGCGCTACAGTGAATACGCTTTGAACACGGAAACTGGTCCTGAAAGATTCTGGTGGGGTTGCCATCATAAGCTGGTAGGATTAAACCCGAAAGTAATGTGTCAGTTATTACATTAATGTATTTAGGATAAGCTCAGGCGTCCGAATACTCACAAAAAGTAATTCTGTGCGTGGCCTGCTGATACTGCCGGATAAAAGGTGCGGTAGCCCGGAGCACCATGAACGATCACAGGCATGCGACCACCAGGAGCCTAAGAAAACAAAAAAATTACAAAATATAAGATCACGGTTACAAAACCGCGTAAGATACAAGTTTACGCGTGTCAATAACTTCTTTGGGGATCTAATTGCAGTTACACGCACGACTAAAGGTAACCAACTGTTATCTTACGCACTGAGGCAAATATTTCGTTAAAATCAAAAACTTGACAAACACAAATGTAGGCACCATAATGGGATCGAACAGCTTATATACATGTTAGATATATCTATCTAACATGTACTTACATGCGAAATAAAGAAACGTACCTGTGTAGTGTAGGGCTGTTGTGGTCTGGCGCCAGGTGGATTATAGGTGAACTGGCTATACGCTATAGCAGCGCGCTGATTCGGTTGGCCTTGTTGTGCCATGGTTATCTGCTGCACGCTAGGACCAACCATTTGGCCAACTGGGGGAAAACCGGCCATTGGTGCTCCCGTGGCTGCTCCACTTGGCGGGGGCCCAGTTGGTATGGCATGGGGGCCTTGTGCGCCGACAGGACTGCCCTTCATTTCTCCTTGGTGGGGCATTCCACGTGGATATTGCCCAAAATCTAAAAAAAGAAAACATGCGGTAAAATACACATGGTAACAAGCAAGCTATATATTTTTATGTGCCCTTTTTAGTTTTAGAATTTTGAAAGGTAATTAAAAAACGGCTTGCTAACTGCCGTAGAAAATATAATTTATTTAAAGAAATCTTATTTATGAGTCGTTTCTTTGCTTCCTTTAAGAAAGTGGGCGCCGAAGACGAGACACTTACTGTTCATTCCCGGCCTCATTCTGTAAGCCAAACAAAACGACAATCGCAGTATTGCTTGTTAGTAAAAGTCGAAGTAGCAAATTACCTTGGCAATGAATTTTCGCCAGCACAAAGTAAAACCTTAGCATCACACCCGCAGATATACCTAAATTTGAATCCTATGTAGATGAATTCACGGTACTACATATTGTTTAACGCAGTTATTAATAATTATATCAGGAAAAAGGCATTTACTATATACTGTGTCATATTTATTGCTAATCATCAAAGATTATCCTGAAACTGCTTAACAGGTTTCTCAGATGAAACCGCTTATTGTGACACTCATAGCGAAAGAATCTTCAAGTTGTTATCACAGCAAAAAAAGATCAATACCATCAATCAACAATGACGTGACTAGCTCATACTATTAGGTCAAAAATGGGGGTAAAATCAGTGTCATGTTTAGTAGGTTGACCAGAACATTTTTCATTGCGTTCAATCAATGAGCAGTAGCAAATAGAAAAGGAAGAACGCTCACTATCACCAGTATTGGTGACGCCATCTACCGGCGGGGCAGTGCAAGCGCAGCGCATCCATGAAAAATGTTGAATTCCGATCATGCCATACCACCATGAGGATCTACTAGAGCCCATTACAAAAAAATGACACCGCACAGCTGCTCTTTCAAAATGGACGAATTACGATCGAAACAATCCTTAACAGAGATTGTTCTTCCACTGTGACAGACGATGCTGTATCATTATTAAACGGCAACACTCACTGTTCTGTCAACGTTTTACTGACAACATGTCAACACTTGGCACAGCAGAATCTAATCTGTTTTTGGGAATCAATTTTTACGTCGTAGAAATTCATTAACCATACGCGCAAATCGATGCTTACCTTCTATCCATCTAAATGCTGCTTAAGAGCTGCATACACGACAAGAAAAGAAATACGAAATAAAAAATAGAACTACGGAGATTTTACGGCGTTCAGCCAAGCGTGATTACGTGCGCACAAAGCGCACGCGCTTAAAGTCGACGAGAACACTTCCTTTTTGCATTCATGTACGATATTTAGAAACTGAGAAATGGGTCCCGATTGGAAGTATACTTTTGATTTTTAATGTAGAGGAAGACGAAGCTAATATAGCCCGATGCACAATGCACTAAAGTGCACCTAGTGCTAACGGCTAAAGGGTTGCCCGCCTTCTTATGAATTGTTAATGAGAGAGGGACTGCAATACATAGCGTTAGAAACTCATTGTTTTATTTTCTATTTTATGTCCGCCTGCCTGCCTGCAAGGCTATCTCGAGCTGCTGACCTTTGGATGCATGTTTTTGCTTTCCTGAGCAGAGAGATACCTTGAATCTCATGCACCATGTGAACTCATGTTTCATGAGACCGAAGAAAATATGGCGACAACCAATATTGCAAATTATTTCTCCTTTCCACATTGTTTTTGGCTTCAAAATAAACACCAGCAGCAACTTGTCCTCCGATAACATAACGTTTGCGCATAGGGAGCCCTGCCCCCTCTTTACTATTAAACGCAGCTTAAGCACACGTGTTCACGTAATCCAGCTTGCGCAAATATACATTTGTGAATTCGATATATATATATCATCGAAGACTATGTCGGAAGGCCGTCTTGGTGTATATAACCAGCGGTGTAGCGTTTTTTTTGAAACATGAGATACGAGAGACGTTACTACCGTAAGTTTACGACAAACCAAATTGACGCTCTACTAGAAAAAAACATTTTTCTCTTCAGGAGGATAAGTGTTAGGGTAACTGGTTCCATTCTATGTGCAGGTCTTCCCCGGGGTGAATGTCTAACGACACACAGTATCCAAGGGTGGTTTTAAATCCGACAAACAAACAAATTTGTAATAATTTATGTACATACAACGAAGATTGGTTTTGATGAAGTATGAGTGATTCGGCAGCCGGCTAATAACATATTTTTACAAACCAAATCTTTCTCGCTGTCGGTACTATGATGATAGCCAGTACTCATTACGCTATGACAATGTTATGACTCGGCTTAGGAACAGTCTATAGAATTCAGGGCTTAAAACGGCGGAGAACCTGCACATAATTTGAGCTTTCTGCATTACTAGGTCTGAATCGTCTCATACCAAAGTGGGGCCAGCGGCAGGCTAGATGATCGATAGATGACAAACAAGACGATAGGCTTGACAGGCGTTCGCCCGAAAGACAGGCGAAATCAAACCATATTCTTTGAGTGACAAGGAATAACAAGAACATCACATTCGTATATTTATTTTCAATGTCCCCGCAAAAAGTAAAATTGCTTTTCAATGTCCCCGCAAAAAGTAAAATTGCTTTTCGTATCATTAGATTTTTTTTATAGTTATATATATATATATATATACATATATATATATATGGTATTCACTACTTTCGTTTAACCAGTACAGTGCCTCATACGTTTGCGATACTTTCCAAACCAATTGAACAGCTTCCAACTGGTGCACTACAGCTGATATTATTGCATGACTCGCGGCAATCGGAAGTTGTAGTTTATTTTCTGTGATTTATCGTTGATTGAGTTTTTTTCGCTGTTTACATGCGTTGCTTGTCCTATAGGGTGCAAGAAGCTTGCTAAGCAGGGAAGATTGTCCAAATGGTTTTTACACCGCGCGGGCGCCGCAGATTATTTCACGACCAAGCACTGAATGGATATTACATAGGATGTGTAACTATCGATTCCCGTCAGATCGTCACGTTAGTCACTGGGCCATTTTTTTATTAAATGCATGCGCGCCAGGCATAACATGTTATATTGGGTGGTTACAGGCCGAGGGGTCTAATTGTGGCTGTTTTGGGTTTGTCATGAGTCTCAAGTCTGTTTCGAGCATAATAGCATGTAGAATTTGCTGCCGATAGTGTGTAAATAGCTCCTTAGCTGGTACCAGGTTAAAGATAAAGAAATGTCTGTACTGTATAATGAATACTCACTCCTATAATGTAATTCTAATTACCAGGTGATAATGATTCAACCCACCAAAAGTAACGTTTCGCAATTAATACCGTAGATCCCTGAAACCTCCTCTGTAGGCAAACGGTCGAATCAGGGGCAAGTAGCAGTAACTTGTATTAACTTACATCAATAAATTGCCTGGCCAGAATGGTTACATTATATATAAAAATATGCTTGTAAAGAGGACTTTAGTAAGGGAGAGTAATACAAAATTAGAGTTCATCGCACAGAAACTTCCTACTGCAGGAGTATATCTAAATGTGGTTATGCAAAAATTTCGCACGCCATGTGCTATTACCTAGTTCCAGTTAAAGGTTAACGATGTAGTGTCATTATTTCGTTGTTGTTTTTATTTGCAGTTGCTACAATAGCGGGTCGGGTAAAGCGGTAGACTCACAACCACAAGGTCTACGGTTCGATTCCCAACTAAAACCCAATGGCTTTTTTAAATAATTAGAGTTCTTGATTTCTTTGACTGTTGGGTCAGTGTGCAATATTCAACTAACTATTCGCTCTATATATTAGTTTCCACTCCTTCTACTTGTAGGGATACGTCAATAATCCTTGGGCCGTACGCGGTTAGGTGCAAGGCTTAATAACGCGGGTTTGTTGTATGACATTCGGAGATTTATGAAGATTTGTCAAATTTCGTCGATTTGTATTGAATTACAAAAAAAAATAGAGAAGGATCTGCACTCACTGTGGAAGGCCGTTTCAGCATTTGGTTGAAGGCCATAGCTAGGCTTCTGCTTCTGGGTCCCTAGGATAAGCTTGAAAGCGATACAGATAAGTGCTATAATCTATCAAATGGGACGTGCTGCTTGCTCTAGATCCAACAAGAAAAATCTGATCTGAATGAATGTGGTGTAACATAGTTAAGCTGGCACAGTAGTCTCTCAAGCATCGCACCGAATTAAATTGCACCGAACTTTAAACTAAACGAGCTTTATCTAAACGTGGTTCGAAAAAGCGTTCGAATACGTAAGCCCCAACGTATAGTGATGATTCGTTAGGATTTTATCAATAGTCCAAATGAAAACTTCACAGCGATCCACAGGAAGAGAAACACCGCAGATAAAGGCACAAGCATAAGTAATGATCAAGATGATTTTTCAAGTTGCCTGCCATAACTAACGGGGTACCGGACATAAACTCGAATAGTAAGCGTTGCACACAGAAGGAAGACATGTCAGGTGACAAAGATGGGGATCATGGGCTCCGCGAGCAGTTTGTAAAGGACGAGTGCAAGTTTCGATTTCTATCGTAAAGTCTGCCTGGCTAAACAAGCCTTAGCCGTTTACATTTCAAATAATAAAAACGTCCTACCAGTAGAAACCCATTCACATCAGTTAGCAGAAGACTGGCAGCTTTTGTCACACGTATCGTACAGGTAACAATCAATACGATTTGGCTCAATATCTCTACTCCAGAATGACTGGTTCAATACTTGCTTTGAGCAAGATATGCAAAAGTTAATGGACAACTACTTTTCGGCCCCTTCGATATAAACATCATGCGACCTCCAATGCGCACAACGGAAGATTAAGCGCTACCGAGATATGCTTTTTACAATATGGCATTGACTATCAGTCAGGCTTCGTCTGACGTCTTCTGTCAACCGTCAAGAATACCTTGTTAACTTATATATGCCATAAAATGTTTCACGTGTTCTAGGCAGTACACTAGACTTATTTTACTATATGTAGTATCATACAGATATTTGTTCAAATGTGACGTTTAACCAGAAAAGTAGGCTTTTTCACAGAATTTGCCGGAAATTCCGCACGCGATCACAGACCCAAAACGATCATAACCGAGCTTCTGAGCCCGGGGTTGACAAAAGGCACGAATAAACGATGTCATTTAATTTCGCTTTGCCCCGTCCTCTACTGTATGTCACTGTGTAGCCAAAATGCACAGCGGCCTTTTGTACAAAAAAAAAACCCAAACACAGATCCAAGCTCGACTGTAGGCTTTTTTCGCAGAAGTGGCGCACAGACAAACATGGATAAGCCTCAAGCAACCTGAACAAACGTATCCCAGCAACTGTCTATGGATGGATCCACGACCGGATCAGACAAAAAAAAAGTTACTGCAGCAAACATGGTAAAAGAAAAAAGTTACATTCTGTTAAGGGGCATGGGATCTCGTACGGACGGTTGAAATGACGAACAAGTTATCGCAATTCCCATCTGTGCAGATTGTTACTACCATCACTTCTGTATTATTTCGATTATTATTATTACTACTATTATACAGTAGCTTTGTATCCTGTAACAGATATCTATTCTTTACGTGTTAATGTCTAATGTATCGCTGTGACACCGATACATTCCTTCGCAGAGAAGAGGGTCTGTTGCCGCGCCTGCTACCGTCGCCGCTCTCGCTGTTACTGTAAAACGTGCTTAGTCGCCTCTTTCCCTGCGCGACGCTGCTTTGTCTTGTTTTGTTGCTACTGTTGTACATCTTAGCAGCAGCGGTGGCGAGCTGATCAGCGACGGTAGCAGACGGAGAGCGCAAAAGGTTCGCGTAGCACAGCCTCTCAGCAAGTAAGGAAGGATGGTAGAGTGGTAGTAAGGTGAGTAGTCGTAGTAGAAGTAAAAATTATCGCTCAGTAAAACGAGCAGCGAACAGTCAGCGACGACGGTGGATAGCAGCCATTCGACAGATACAGATGGACAGACACGAGGCAAAGGAATGCCCGGCAACGGCCTCCGCCTCCGCCGCCGCCGATGACGACGCCGACGACGAAGACCACGCCGACGACGAGCTGCTGTCGATGCGGCTGCCACTACTTCTTCGATCATCGCTACTACCGCCGCCATTGCTGTCAAAGACTGGCACCATCGCAGCCATTGTCATCATCGCGGTGGTATCGCAGACTGCCGGGGCAGCCGCATCTACAGCGGTAGTGAAATAGCAATTCAACTGGCGCTATCCTCAACACTACAACTGCTATTATTCGCATTATCACCTCTGGTCGGTTAATGGCTGTTGCCAACAGCGCGTCGGCGGCACCGGCAGAATCAACAACCACTATCAGCTGCGATAGTAGCGGTAGTAACTTTATGGCGATAGCGACAATCATCATCGCAATCAGCAGCCGCCGTCACTTCCTTCTCTTTTTCCCTGTTGATGCAGTTTGCTATTTCTGGAGCCGCTGCTTCCGCTGATGTCGCCGACATGTCCGTAGATGAAGTCCATGTTGGCTATGACACCACATGCACTTCATCCGCAGCATAACTGCAATTGGCGTATGTCGAATAGTAAGCAACGAAAGCTATTACTAGTCCTAATAGTAGACGTGAAAATATGTACTAGGTCAACAATAACATTCTGTCATGTGTATTTGATAACAACAGCTAGCCAACAGAGATAGTAGTTATCTAAGCCTAGCGCGTCACAATCAGCTCTTGCAATTCTGGTGCTAATAGCAGCGCCGGTATGACCTAATAATAATAATGATCATGCTGAATAGAAAAGGTAATGCCTAGGAAACTACAATGACGGCAGCGGTATAAAAAGCTACATCAGCAAATCGTCGCCGAGCGGTAATGCACGACGGCAGGAGAAAATAACACCAGGCGCGGCGGCGGCGGCGGCGGCGGCGGCTGCAGCAGCAGCAGCAGCAATGATCGTAGCAGAAGAAGCGAAGAGCAGACGTCGTCGACGGCCAACTACGGCTACGGCTACGGCTACGGCAACGACTGCAATCGACAGGTAAAAGCAGCAGCAGCAGCAGCAGACAGCAGTGCCGCCGCTGGGGGCTCCGTTTGTACCGTCGACGTCGCGTGGATGCGAATGGATGACAGGAGAGCCAAAGACCGACCGAGCCAAACAAGCGATTGGAAGACAGCGGTAACAGCAGCGACGGCGCCAGCGGGACCGATAGCCACTAACATCAGTTGAATGAATGTTCAATACTACTGACGGACTGAATGGCCCACTACTACTTGCAGCGGCAAACGATTACGCTACCGCCATCGCCACAACCCCCAGTACGGCACCATTCAGATGAGCACCACACTCGTCCAGCTCGGGACTCAGTCGTTGAACGACGTTCTCGTCAACGGTAGTAGCATCAAGAATAACGATGAAGAGAGCGACGACTGCTGCATACACAATGTATATCGACGTCCAGCCAGCCGACCGTTGGCATACGCACGTTTCCGATACAGAACGAAAAATTATATTTTTAGACATTTTACAGTATCCATTCTACGACGTCCTCGTTAATGAATTTTTCTTCAGTCATATTTTCTCATGTTTTTATACGTTTGAGTTTTTTTTTTTAACTCGAATAATGGGAAAGGACACATTATTCGAAACGATGGTTCTCGCTATTTTGGAGTTTGCTTTTTATTACAGCGAACCCCTGCAGAAGAACGTGAGATAAGCTTCCAACTAAAAGTAAATCGTAAAGCGATACTCTAAATACGCTCTTAGACAATAATTTCCTAATGAAAATATGTTTACTCATCAAGAGCGATCGAGAAATATAACTTATTTAGCCAGACAAGTTGACTCTGCAGCTCTTATCGGAGAAATCCCTAAAGCATCCATAAACTATAACAGGGGGCATGCAAACCTGTATAAACGGACGTGCTACAGTGTTCGGTTACGATCAGACGGACCGACACAGAAAAAACGGACTAAACGGAAATGATAGCCTATTAACGACTGGTTGTTTTTCTTATCATACATCTATTACATTTACTGAAACTAATCTAACCTAACCAATTGTTTAAATCAAATGAAGTATTGGGACCACCATTATCTCTAACAAGATGTGATCCTATTTTACGACACGTAATGAGTTTTCGAATTTCTCTTCTTTTCAAAAAGAAATGCGGTCCGTGTCTACGTGAATAGACGTTATTGTAATAACTAATAACGAAACAACTTTGCCAATTCATGCATAGAGTATTGTCTTGCATGAATCGCACATATAACACCGACAGCGGTGGTGGAAACGGCGACAAAAACAACAGGCACGCAGAATTGTCCTCGATTGCTTCGTGCTCCTTCGTTAGACATAACAGTTAGTTCCAGATATGGCGACCTCATGCCCACACACATACTAGCACACACGGATTACCGCCTTCGCTGTTTGCACCCGCTTGCGTAAAAAGCCCCCTGACACTAGCGAAACATCATCAGGTTAGTGGCGGATCAAATCCATAGCGTGTTGTCGAATCCAGGCTAGCCATGCGGCGCAAGGAACAACAATAATAACGTGAATACGAGTGATACAAATAATACCCCCTAGCAGCGAAAATCGTGCCACCCTTAATTAACTGTTAGTATGCCACATATGATCACCGCCACTGTCGCTCGTACTAGTGGTGGTAGTTAATAAACGGACTAAGAGTCTCCGCAATCGGTTGGTTATGTTACACACTGTTGCGATTAAGATTAACGCTGAAAAACATTTTCCACAAACACTGCCCTCAGTAATTACTGTCACGCTCTGAACCGTAAGTGTATTTACTCGCATTCACTTTCTCTGCAGCATGCCATTGCTTATATAGCACCAGCAGCAGCAGTAGCAGTAGCCTCTGAACCGATCGCGAGATCAGGTCTATTTCATAAGCACGTAGACAAGTTGGAATAACGTCTCGCTCTTTCTCTTTTCCCCCTACCTAATACTACTGCAGCAGGTCGTCTACTGCTGCTGCTGCTGCGGCCGTTGCCGCCTGTCCTACGGATACGATGCTGTTACTTGCTGGCTGCCGTCACGACGACGGCTCACAGCGAGAGGCGATCACGGCGCGATATACTAACAACGGGATGATATGTCCATGTCCTGTCGTGTTACTGGTTTGTGGAAGTCCCGTCAACAATCGCACCGGCAGTTGGTGCAGTGGCTGCGGCCGCAACAGATCGAAAAACATCTTGTCGAGTTGACCGTTGCCGTTAATACTGTTGTAGATACATACGTACACGCCCGCTGCCTGTATTTCAGTAGTATATATATGTATATATATATGTATATGTGTATATGTGTTACAAGTTAAACTTTTTTACAATTGCTTATCGCAATTCACCTGCGATAGTAGCCATATGTAGGAATAGGCGCAAAATATAGAAAAGTGAAGCAACATCCGTAGTGATTGCAGTAGCGGTAATGGTAAGAGCATCAACAGCACGAAATTATGTGCGACACGATATATAGTATTCTTAGCTCTTGTTGATTTTCCCTATAAATCGAAGCACTGTGCTAATTCCGGTAAATGTAGTATAGGGCACGCACGCACCGCATGTGTCTGAGTGCCCCAGAGGCGGAGAGCTGGCAGTCCAGCAGCCAGCCTTTCGTTACCCCCTGCTGCCTGTCTGTCGTCGTACTATTCCTGCACGATGATCGCGATGTCTTCATATCGCTGGCTGGCGTACCCTTATGGGCTAATAAAAAATCAATCTACCATTGTAGGATTAAGTGTTCTCGAGAGCGGAGGCAGTTGGCTAACTATAACACACGACTGAAACGACAGCGACGGCTGCTGCTGGTCGGTGGCTAATGGCTGGTGGCTGGACAGAAGGAACTGACTGCATGTATGTCTATGTACATTAAGATAATGTAGTTAGACGGAATACTCACGTCTGGGGTGTTGGCTGTCCGGCGGGGTTTCCGCGATGTTGGTGTGGGCCAGGATGCGGCTGAGAGCCGGGATGTGGCCCGTGCTGCTGCATAGGATTGTACTTGGGCTGCTGTCTCGGTGGGCCGCTATTGGTGCCCGGAACAGGCCCGGTGGGTTGCTGCACCAGGGGGAGACCTGGCATGACAGCCCCTCGGGGCGCGGGCTCGCCCAATCCACCAATTAAATGAGCATATCACTCTCGCACTCACTAGCTAAACTTAAACACGATTTCACCACGAAACACTGATGATTTCTAGGGATTTAATTCTCAGCCCTTTGCCTTAGAGAACAAGCAGGCGCACACAAGATGGCGCTTGTTAGAAGGAATGCTCCTGCTTGCTGGCCGATAGCATCGGATAAACGTATTGCCGACCGCTTGCAGACAGCCACTACCGCCGCCGCCGCTACCGCTGCTGCTGCTGCTGCTGCCAGCAACTACAACGAAAGCGGCTGTTTGCTTCCCTGTCTGTTGTCCGTCTCTCTTCCAGCCAGCCAATCCGCCGTAATAGTGCCTGCTGCCTGCCCGAGAAACAGCGACAGCAGCGGCAACACTAACCATCATTCGATGGCAGGTAGGAGCGCGCCAAAGTTCAACTGAAGCCGACGGGCGACATCGCTCGTACCCACCGCATGAATGGGAATGGCGCGAGCAATGTCGACGGCGGCGGCGCCAGCAGCGGCGGCGGCAGAAAGAAAAACACTTGCAGGCCGGAAGGAATATTGGAGTAGAATTTTGTAGGCGGATAAAAATAACTTATTAAAAAGAAGGCTTAACAAAAAATTGTTATACTTTTTTGTTGCACATAGTCGGTACTGTCGAGGACGAAAGAGGCAGGCCACTAACAGAGAATCGTAGACAACATTCTGTGTCGGCAATTTAATTTTGTCATTCGGTGGACGCAAATGGAAATTTTGAACGGTTCTGCTGTATATTGCTTAATACAAACACACTAAAAATAAGCTCAATAGCTCTCTGATAAAGGATGGTTCACCAATTGTCACCAACTTGGACTATGATTTGCTCAGTTAGAAAAGTAGCAAGACACAAGTAGTGACTTCTGTCAACAGCGAAAGATTATAATTAAAATACGCACATAAAGCGCACGTAAAGCTGTCCCCAATTCATTTTCAACGAAGAGGATCACCGAGCAACGTTCACAAACTTCACTCTAAGTTTACGAATATTTTTTTCTTCTATACGAAGAACAAGCCTATTTTTCCCTCTTTCAATTATTTTGTTAAAATCCGTTAAATAGTATGGATTCGGTCGAGGCCTAATATTTTTCGATCATGTTTGCACGAATACGCAAGTTAACCTCTATTCTGGTTTTTGCGTTAGAGTTTGCGCTCAAAGCTGGCCATAAAAGGAAACTCCATTTTTCACTGACTAATTGGAAATTTATGTTTTGAATTGTAGATGGGATATCGAGCAAGCATCCTAATGCCTTCATTCGTCCGTAGTAAAGTAACACTCTTCAGCTCAGCAACCAAACTTTATGAGCATGAAATATCTAACGGTACTTGACACTTACCCAATTAGACTGACGGCTTTCAAGACGTTTCAAGATGAAGAAAAATCTGGCGCTCCCTCTATTGCCGGAAATAGGAAACAAAACTATCTCAGGAGAAGAACGTGCTGAACAGTTTTTGTTGCAGAGGCGGTCCCTAAAAGTGGCATACGAAGTGGAGAAATGTTACTTCAACTTCCACTGCAACGCTTCGAGTGACTACTAGAAAGAAGACCTATCTTTTCTACTACTAGCTGAGTAAAATTTGGAAGAATAACGTTTTAAACGTCTCTACCAGCACATCTACCGAGCATTATTGTGAGGTCATGCAGTTTATATGGGGAAAAAGCATTGCAACCCAGAATTTTCGTTCCACCTGGACATACTCTACTCCTACTACGAACGTTTGGATCTTTGCAAGACTTATCATTTTTTTGGAAGCTAAAGACGACTCACGGGAATAATAATGGAATATAATGATCCTTAATGATTTAATTTCAGGATCAATGTTCGACAAAAATCATTTGTGAATTTCTCTTATGATATCTGCTCTTATTTGAGCCACATTGTGATGAGTTACTTTAATACTATGAAGGGTGTTACACGCTCATCTTATTCTTAGTAATAATAAACTAAACAGACTTTAACCCTTTACCTGATTACTGATTATACAAAGGCTTTAAGAGTGGGGTACGTGAAGTTTGACGTTCGCTAGAACTTTGCTTATTCCGTTAACTACTTCATAACTAAAATTTACAAACTTACCGAGTATATCAAGAAAAGCAAGCTTAATTAATCGAAATAAACAGTATTTTGCTTGCAAGCTGCGCGGAGACACCGGTTTCAAAAGCGAGTCAGGTATCTGCTTACGTAAAAGAAAACGAAGTTATTTCAGGTAGTCTTAAAGATACCCTCGTGACCAGCTCTTTGAGCGAATGGCGGGGTCGGCGCGGACGATGTTGATTTTTGTCCAGTTGATATATGTTTCGACCAGATACGTGCCGACGCACTGAAATATCGTCTGCTTTTATTCACACGATAATGCGTCAATACAAGCAAGATTTTCATCTTACTTAATTATTTAGGTTTTATTTATCACATCCATTTTACATTGAAAGCAGCATTGTTACTTATTTGCTGAAGTTAGTTTTGATGTGTATCACTTTGACGTGATGGTTTTGCTATAGAGACATCCACCCAAGAACGACTAGATTATACACAAATTGTCGACTTAAGAACGCCAAAGGGAAAGGTTACCGAAAACGACTACCCACATATACTACGAAATTTCTGACTAAAAATTTTCCTCGAACGTTTTATTAATGCCGGCCCCGGTCGCCGTTAAGTGAACGAGGCTACGTGTCCCCAAAATGAACAAATGTCAAATCCGTATTTGGCGGGTGGTCTGCTTGGCAGCCCGCCGACGAAGGTATTTACGAGTGGGTGGCCTTTAACCGTCGGGGCGTTGTGATTCCGAGTTGCCGCTGACGGCCACCGAGAACTTCATTGACTGTGACTTGCTGGGTGGACGAACGAACGTCTCAGAGTGGTGTCCCTGATTGTGTTCCTACTGCTGCTAGAATAGTACTGGTCGATCTGAGTGTGAACTTGTTCGCTGCTGTGTAGCTAAGCAGCCTCGGTCGAGGACAACTACGCGCGCGGCACACTTACCAGCGATGTCGGTAAGTCAAATAAAAGTTTATTGAATGAAAAATGAATATCTACTGTCGGTAACTGTTTATGGCTGTCACAAAAGTTACGCCGCCTCCACTTGCTACGCGTCAATTAAGTCTAAGAGGCCCGTGCTATTCGGTGAGCTGATTTTGTCAGGCATTGGTTTCAGTCTCTGGATCTGTAAAACAGCAGCTATGTAACAAACAATTACAGTTGAACAGAGAGCCTTGGCTGTTTCGAGGTGGTCAACTTTGGAGTGTCAACAGCTTAGTCAGTGGATCCTGTTGTGTTCGGGTGCAAAATAAAAGCCAACACTGAAGAACCTCGATTAATCGATCGCTGAAATTAAGTTTAACCCAAGGTTGCTATCAATTTTCGGTTGCCAGTTATGCTTATGAGGTTTTATGAAGTACTGCGTAATGAAAGTACATATAAGCTCGGTAGACGATTCCCGTTGCGGCAGTAGATTGGTTGAAGCTGGAGAAACGCTTTCACGACGAGCTATTGAATGTCGATGGATGCTGTTACACAAACATACTTATACATTTGGCCTATTTAAAATAAGCCCCTGGAGTTCAATTGTAGTTTCAGCAATAGCTGCAATAAATCTTTGTTATATAATACAAAATGCTTTGTCTAATATTATTCAGGAATACCGTAAAAAAACGACCACTGTGAGATGTATTTGTGTCAGTCTTATATTATAATAGTTTGTCTTGGACAATTTCTATTAATTTTCTTATGGTAGCCCCAAAAATCATTAAAATATACGAACTATGCTATAATAAATATATTATACAATACGAGGAAGCCAAATTTTCGAGTTAATAATACGTTAATTTTAAACGAGTTTTAATTAGATTTGAAGCAAATTAACGATGTATATACAAGCGCATTTGCGTTTTCGGTGCAAGCGAATGGCAGAGCGCTGTAGTTCGTGAGAGTGATCTATTGAACTCTGAGGTTGAAATCCAGATCGTGACATTTTTAGAACTTGTCAACCTACGGTGTCCATTAGCCTTCAGCGAACTTTGGCACTGGCCATCGCTGTTGTGCAAAATTATAGTTCATTTTTTGGCTCTCGGTTCTGCTGCTCCTGCTGCTGTTGTTCTTCGAATTTACGAATTTGTGACTGGTTATAGCTTACCGCGGTCGTCGTATTTACATATATGGAAATGTGGCAAAGACGTACATTAGTGAGCCAAGATGGTGAGTAATCCACCGTTTTGTTACCGTCGGTGCTGCTTGACTGCAAACATCAAGGTGTCAATTAAAGGTTTAGGCCTTGCCGACCCGTTGGTAACGACCACACATCGACGCGGGCATAAGTGCGTACACACACACACACACTCACAGAACGTATGCGCGTCACATGACCACCGCAACAGAGATGATTACTGGTTGCCGGCTGCTCTTATCCGCCAACCAGCATTTCCTTACCGGGAGCGAGCAAAGTAGAATTTAACCATGGACAACAAACGAGTTAAGTCAATCTTTGAATCTTTTGTTGCTTCTACCAAGAAGAAATAAACGCTATATAAATAGCAGTACCATTCCGCGGGCGACACTGGATATTCAGAGGAAAGCATGAAAGTCAAGTGAGGAAGAAGCGGAAGACAAAAGAAATATAGTATGTGATTCATGCTATTGATAGCAAATTCATTGGGACAAAATATAGAAGTATAATAAATTTACTTTGTTAACAAAGTTGTATGTCCAAAACAGCATGAGTTTGTATGTGCTGAACCAGACTGGAATCGGAGACGTTTTGAGTCCGAGTCTTCGGCGCTGCCGCTTACTCTATCTCGCAGATAAATGTTAGACAAACATGGTCGTAAGCGACAACAAGGATATTAATAGTAATAGTGTTTCGTTGCTACCACAATGGTAGAAGCAATGGAGTGTTTTCTCTGATTTACAGTAAATCTACTATTCACGAAGCTCGTACTGGCTGGTGGCCAGCAATGGAGGGTTGTTGCAAGCAACATGTTTACCGACTTGGCGACACGTCAGCAGAAACTGGCGTACAGTTTGCGCCCACTTTGAGGTTAACATTTGACGCTCAATGTTCCATAATGGGTTATGTGTCGGTAACTACAGTTCACTAGAAATTTACAGTTGACATCCTATGAGTTTTGTTTGTTCTTAATGTTATCCGGAGTGAATGTTGAATTGCTCATACTGGAAGAGGTGAGGCTGAATTTACGTACTTAATGTGGTAATAGGACGCCTATTGATGTCGATTTTCCTTCTGTCGCGAATATTCGTATGCATATTAATGCACCACTCCTGGCTACAATGCAGTTTTATTTAAATACCTTACTTTCTGAACAATCAGGTAAGGACATGTATGAAATCGCTCATTATTATTATAGATGGCTTATCTGTTAAATGCTGAAATCCAGTGAGAAATTAACTTGGTGCTCACCTAATGCCTTCGTTCTTAGTAACGTACATTTTATATATTTTGCTAAGCTACGGCATAAGGCCTTACCTAATCGAGTGTATTGCAGCCTTTCGCTATCCCAGGAGTTTTCGTGTCAGAGTCAACGATCGTTTCGTTCCGCGTAGAGAAACAACAACTGACTGTCCGCTAAGGACAATGCTAGAATTACTGACTTAAATCATGTAGATAAATTCACTTATGTGATATCAAAGCTATGGCTTACGCCGACGTCGTTGAAACGTATTTTTTTGTTGTTACAGAAGAAAACTATCAAAAAGTGCAAACTGCGATAGATCAGTTTAAAGGATAGACTGTAGGACTTAACGTAAAACTTTGAATTCATAATGATTTCATTGTGCGCTTGGAGCAAGGCAAACCTATGAAGATGATCACAACGACGTCGACAGTCGTGAATTAACAACAGTTAACTACATGCGTGACCTGAGAATGACGACTTCAACATATCTCAAATATAGTAACCGCGCATCGAAAAGGGCAAACTAGACTCCACGTTCATTCATAATAAACAAAATGTTTTTATGTTACTAGATTATTAGACTGATACGTAGGGCCAATTATCTCTAGTGCGTCTTCAGTGTGAAATAAAGGGTATATACAAAAAACAATTGAAGCTGGTAGAGAAGAAATTAGAAAGGTGTCTTGTTGAAACGACGTGGTCAATAACGATATTGTGGAAGTATTATGCAAAAACGATTTACAACAAAAACATGCTAAGTAGATTGTGGAATAACCTATATCTGGTCAAAGCATTGTTCAGATAATTCTCACAGCCACACAGTAATTCATACAGCAAGTACACCCCACCCCTATAGTTTTTCAAACTATAGGAGTGGGGTGTACTTAAGCGCATTAAACATGCGGCCAAAATAAGCGCGGTTTAAAACAGTCTTCTCGTGACTCGCGCAACCTCCACTTGAGCGTCATTTATTTTCCCCAGCACTTATTTGTCCGTATTTCGAGTGAAGCGTATTCATATAATTATTATTAGCTAAAGCTAAATTAGTTTTTAAAATGGACATGTACGCCGTCAATGCGTCTGCCGATCTAAATTACGTCTTATGTACCTAATGTGTTTTTCGGTTTCCGGCTGACCATTGTGCGATGAAATGCAGAACGATGTACAGCTCGACGCGGCTCTGGATCTGATGCGACGTCTTCCACCGCAGAGGATCGATCAGAGCCTAAACGACCTGGTGGATCTTGTCCCTGGCCTCACTGAGGAGCTTCTGACGTCCATTGATCAGCCACTCAAAGTTGCACGTTGCTCCGTCACGGGAAAAGATTATCTCCTTTGCGACTACAATCGCGATGGTGATTCGTACAGGTCAGTTAGGCTACATTTGACAGAAAAATGTTTTTTGGCGAGTAGATACTGCTGTGCAGCAACTCAAATATTCGTTCACGAACATAATTTAAAAAAAAATGCATCTTGATCGCTATATGATCTCTTTTGGCTGGGCAACAACAGAGCAGGTCAGGTGCACCATACACTTGAAATCGCAAATTGGTAAGTCGATTTAACGAGGTGCAATTAGGTGTGCATTAAGCTACGAGTTTTTGCAAGTTTGCCTACCAACAATTTAATTCTCTTTTGTCCGGAAATCTAGTTCCTTATTACAAGAATTTTTCTCGACATATTGAGTTTACAAGTACTCGATTTCAGTATAAAAACTATAGTTAAGCATGATATAATAATATATAAACAAGTGGTCCGACTTTGTAATTCAATCAGTCATTATCTCTAGCGGAAGAGCAGCAACATAATTTAGATTTAAGAGTAAACTTCTCAATCAATTTGTTTAATATAGGTCCCCTTGGAGCAACAAGTACGAGCCGCCGATCGAAGATGGCGCCATGCCCACAGATCGCCTGAGGGATCTTGAAGAACAGGCTAATAGGGTATTTGAACAATACAAACAGCTGTACTATGAAGGTGGCGTATCCTCTGTTTACCTATGGGAGCTCGGAAGTAACGGGTTTGCTGGCGTTGTCCTTATCAAAAAAGTAAGCAGAATACATCTAAAGAGTAAAAAAAGCTTGTTAACAAGTGGATACTTTTAAATCATTACAATGCGTTTCAGGAATATGTAAAGAATAAAATCCAATACACTATGAGATGTATCAGTCGAAACAGCAAAAACGAATGAATTATCCGAGCGAAAGTTTAAAGACGGGAAATTTTAGGCAAATTTTGTTTTTCAGTATATCATAATGCAGATACAAGTTAAAAAGAAACTTGTTACAATTACAAATGTTTAGGGAGGTGATACGTCCGGGAAAATCCAAGGATCGTGGGATTCAATTCACGTAGTCGAGGTACAGGAAAAATCATCAGGGAAGAACGCTCACTACAAACTGACGTCAACGGTAATGCTCTGGTTATGCACAAGGTTTCCGGACTCCGGCACAATATCGCTCGGAGGGTCACTCATGAGACAATTTGTAAGTTAAGCCGTTCGTTAAAGCACCTAATCAAATATTTCAATAGCTCATGGTCTTTCCCGTTGGTTGAGTAAACATTTAAAAGCACACTGTATGGTACGTTCGGTATATTGATATTCATTTGGCTTCAAAAAAAACTGGAGTTTTGCATTTATATCTACGAATAAAATATGGTGTTCATTCCGCGAAAATGTTACAACATTTCTTACAGTTTCGTATTTTTAAACCCAGTGAAGCGGTATGTCTGGCAGTGGAGGATCTTTCCTCTCTTGTACATGGCAGAATGTACATCTTTGCCTGTACATTTGAATTGGCTCACTGCAACTGAAGCTACTATTCAATTATAAGTGGTAGAAGATACTTTTTTTCCGTAATTTATTTCATAATCTAAGAATTCTGCAAAAACCTTCTTATTCTCATTGTGGTCTATTTTAGGAGCAGGATTGGACAGTGTCAGAGGTGACTCCACACATTATTAACATTGGAAAGATGGTCGAGGAGGCAGAAAACAAAATTAAGGCTTCCTTGAGCGAAATTTACTTCAGCAAGACCCTCAATGTTGTCAACGGGCTTCGGTATTGACCATTCTTTTCATATTTTTTATATTTAAAGGTGTCTCATTACTAAATTCCAGCTACAATATGTATAATGTTCCACGTAAGGTAAACTGTAATAGACACTGGTTGCATAAAAATGCTCGTAATAAAGAGTGTTAGAATACCCATGAATAAAAAATCATACAACTAATAAATAGGGCTGTTGTACTTATGTATGTATGAATATATAATTAGTACCTGTCAGACTTTTTCCAGCTCTCAACCGTCGGCCTAATCTTGTAAAGTAGGTTGACTCCTTGATTCGTATCTTTTTACCATATAATCTGTTCCTAAAAAACTGACCACGATGCACACCACTATAATTGTATAATAATTCTTCATCTGGTCCTCTCAGGTCTCAAACCGGCATCATCGATGATCAGAAGAGGGCTGAGCACCTTAAGGCGCTAGAGAAGGCAATCACTAACCGTACGAAACAGAGTCAGCCTGCAGACAGCAGCTGATTGATGCGACGCGAGAGGCCCAACTCACTCGCCGTGCCCTAACGAACCTAATACGGCAACAGCAGTAACAACTATCTAAAATGATGATCGACGATTGTTCCCACCTATGTCAGCTACGCACAGCCAAGCAGTCCACCGAGATTATGCTTTAACAGCGTAAGGCCCCAAACAAAGCCGCGCGCGCTAGTTAGTAACTGACGTATACCCGATGACAATGAAAATGTAAACAAGAACGCTACCTGGAGGCCTAGATAGTCGCTGGAAATTGAATTAAGAATTTGCCGAACTTACCGGGGATTGCTCGTCAGTCATGCAGTAAAACGGCATTGCTTTTCCACTGTGGAGGCTGTTTTGATGATGATGACGATAACTACGGAATGAGACCGTTGTCGTTTATGTTGGCCGAGTCCATACGTGCGTCCGTGAATAATTAGAAAAAGATATCTATCTTGTGTAGCAATATCTGCAGTAACAGTAACAACGACATCAAAGCGTCACGATCATCCGTAAATCGGCGCAGATAAAGACGAGAAAAATCGTACATTTTTTGCATCTCGCTGTTTGTAGACATGACGACGATGATGACGAGCGTGTTGCCTCATTTTTTTTCGTTTTTCCTTCTATCTGGCAACAAACAAGTAAGGGATATTGTAGGAGACAATAGGCGAAAACATTACGACGCTTGCTGGAAGCGTACCTCGACAGATCGAAACCGAATATAATAGATCTGAATCATATGTATTTAATTATTGCTGTTCATGACTTTTCTCATGGTAGAAACCATAATGGCACGATAATTTCATAACTTATGGAAGCTTTGTAGACAAAACGTACGAATGATGATTCACTTGAAGAACAAGACAAAATCATCGGAGGCAGATAGACAGCGCGTAAGAAGTGGTATTGCCAAGAACAACGATTTTGCTCGTATAGTATACAAATTGCCGTGACGGGACGCAAAAAAAATCGCTAACAGCTTAGCTTATTTATTAAGAAGATATTATAAGATAAGATCGTACTATGTAGCGCTCACGTGGAGCTATCGAAAATTACCTCGCAAGCACAAACTGCTTATATAGGACTGAAAAACAACATCAATGATTGCTCCTACAATTTGATGGATAACAAAGAACAATGTTAACATTATCAATACTGATAGATATAAATATTATATATGAATATACTTGGCTGAACATGATTCTGATGAAAAACGTAATTGAGAAGAATGGGATAATTGTCGACCAACTGGTGTTATACAGAGGGAATGATACGATTAAATGAATACAACGCATCGTGATGATTGGATTTAAAAAGATATGATTCATGGTTCGTTTGTAATGAAGATATCTTAAAAACGTTGTGCTTCTACTGGTGTTGACTTTGCCAGATAAACAGCAACGCTAAGAGAATGTCTTCGAAATACCGAATATTGATCTGCAAGAAGGTATACTAATGATCGAAGAACAGCGGCAGAATTTCGACGAGGCTCTCTGCAAGAAAGAAAGAAGATTACCGGAGAGATAGCATCTAAGCGAATCGGAATATTCTTTATGGTATAGGAGGAGCGTAAGGAAACAAATGCGAAAATTACTGCGACACAGAGAAAAATCATTGTAGAAATTGATGAATTAAGCCATAGTACTTAGATAATTCGGGTTTGCGAAACTGTGACAGCGGAGAAATAAAGTAGAAGGAATCTACTTTTTGCTATTGTAGCCTCGTTTCGATTGTCTGTGATGACCAGACGAGAAATACAAGATAGGTGCAAAGGCGTACGTTCATTTTTGCTGGCATCGTAACATTATTAGCCGCAGCAGAACTAGCGATTCTGACGAGAAGCATTGAAAAACGCACATACATACACATATAAGAACCCCAAAAAACGTGACAAAAAAATACTGCAAAATACTAGCAGACTTTTTATCGGTATTTGACAAGGACTATTAATAATGCACATCTTTTACAAAATTGAGAAACTGATGCTTACCCGCACTATGCTGGGAAAACGTTATTCGACCTGTAAAATAACACCTTACGTACTACTGTTAAATTGCGAAATGCCTTGTGGATCACACTGAGCACAAAAGTAAACAACAACGAAAAATACAATATGGAGGTCAAACGATATAAAAATTAAGGGACGGACGAGCTCGCGCACGCATAAAAAAAATACGGATAGTACAGAGGTACAGCAATAAGAAAAAAACCTTTGCAATTAATACTGCACTACGGCAGGTGTATATGGCCGTCTTCTGGCAATGTTATCTTTTTTTAAAAATTGCAGTTTTTTTAAAACTGCAATTATCAGTCTCAAGCAACTGCTGCATGTCATTGCGAACGCTTCAGAAGACTTACTCTCCGTGGAGGCGAATTTTTCGCGAAAGTAGGGGTAGGCAATAATTCAACCGAATGCTATAATGGATTGTCGAGCCAATAAAAAAACATGCAGCTCGCTAGTTTTCACTTCGGGTTGCGCGAATTTATACAAAACTTCTAGAAATACATAAATAGAAATTGCTGATGAGAGCTTTAAAAACGTGCGAGAGTACTTTCAAAAACGTCAGAGGAACCGGGCACTTCATACAAAAAACACCTTAGTCTCTTCCAGTAACGCCTTTTCGGGGATAAAAGAATACTAGTGAAGTATTCTGGAATTTGAAATACTAATTTGGCATCATCAAGAGTATAAAAAATATAAATGCTGACCAAACAGATGTCTAGATGCGGCAGATGTCGCCGGACAGCATAGAATTTCGATGACTGGAATTCAAGGATGAAAAGGGGAAAGAATATGTCTGTATATAAACATCATAGTGGAAGCAATATTGATCTTCGAGGACACCTTACCACTCGTCTCTATCCAAGTATCTGGAATATTATGGGAGCCTCTGAAAATAGAATCAAGTGAATCGATTGATCCTTAATTTTTAGTGGCTTGTTCGTGTTTTTCTTACATTCGTGCGCAAACAGTGCTCGTTTAGTGCTGTTTTTACCTTGTTAACAGGATGTCAAAGGAGATGCTAACGAAAGTCTGGTGATGCAATAACGAGACATTTGATCTGGCGGCCTATGGGAGACTGTAGGACCACGAAGCCGTTATGGGTGGTAAATACTAACAACCAAGTAGACTTAGATGCGGGCGGACGACGAAACTGTAGGGATCGGCTCATTAGTTCGCGATAATCGCTTCCGTTCGGAACACCCTGCATACATACGGAAGATTCTGTGCACTAATACATGAAATGCGAAATGAAGACAACGGAGATGTTGCAGATAGCTGGCTCGCAGCCAACTTGTACCAAACGTTGAGTGAGAAGGAACAAATGGAAATGTTACACAGTCTTGTAGTGATGATAACGTGTAACAATAATATGTTTCATAACAAAGAATAATAGTGACAATGAGTCTTTATTTTACTGTTGCACGTGTGATATAATAATAGTATTAATAATAATTAATCTAAATGAAATTTCTTGTGGAATTACTTTCAGTTTTTGTTCTAGTTAGAATAGGAGATACCTTTTAGACAACTTCGAAAGCAACGGGTAGTCAGGTTCAAGCCAATAACTTATATGCATTTTTTGTAACGCATGGTATGAAGTTATCGCTCGAATCAATGCAATAAATCTTATACGCGGTAATGAAGAGTTAAAAAATACTATCAGTAAAGTAAGCGTAGCACTTGCCAATTGGAACCCATTACCCTATTTTACCAAGTGGATAATATTACTATTTAAACCACTTAACTGACTGCTTTCTACTTCAGAAGGAAAGGAAAAATGCAAATTAAGATTTTTAAAATGTGGGTAAATAGGTGTTTTATTTGTTTGAGCTTATGACCATGGGCAGAATCTCGTTATAGGGTTGTGATTATACCAAACTTTATATTAATGGCTTCAAAACAAAAATTATCCGTGCCATCAAACATTCGTTTAAACACATTTACATTAAAAACGTTGCCCAGCTAATATGAATACAGATATCTATCTGTGACTAACGTGACGAAGTTGCCACGTATTATGTGAATTATTCATTGCCTCAGGCTTTCAAGACTCTTTTGCGCAGGTAGAACAACTCCGCGACAATCTCCAAACCCTATTCTTAAGCCAGGTATTTTGCAGTGACCCCTTATAATGACCTCATCATTATCCTGAAGGAACTTTCGGGATCCACCGTTTTCTAAAGCTACATCCTTGGTGCCCCGCCAACTGAGTTCTAGCATCGAACCAAAGGAGTTTTCAGACGGTCCACTAATCGTGCCTGATGCAAGCAGATCACCGGGGCGCATGTTACAACCAGTAATCGAATGATGTGTTAATTGCTGTTTCATAGTCCAGTACAGATGCTTGAAATTGGAACGGCATACAGTAGACTCCGCAGCCCCTAAGGGCTTGATTGCCACTTGCAGCTCAATGTCGAACGAATAAGGGTCTTGATGTCTGAGGTAGGACATTGGTTGAGGATCCTGCGGATAGTTATTGACCTTGAACGGTTCCAAAGCTTCCATCGTTACGACCCATGGACTGACTGTAGTTCCGACATTCTTAGAAAGAAATGGTCCCAGCGGGAGATACTCCCATTTTTGAATATCTCGTGCCGACCAATCGTTCATAAGAACCATTCCGAAGATATGTTCCTCGGCCTCACCGATGGCAATAGGTTCACCCAACTTATTGGGTGGGCCTACAAAAAATGCCATCTCTAGTTCAAAATCCATCAACGTACTGGGGCAAAATTGCGGCGGTTTTGAATCGTCCGGTCGTATCTGACCCCATGGTCTGTGTAATGGTGTACCAGAGACGACTAACGACGAAGCTCGACCGTGATATCCTACTGGCAAATATTTCCAGTTGGGCATAAGCGCGTTGTCTTTTCCACGGAACATGATGCCTACGTTAGTGGCATGATCAAGAGAAGAGTAGAAGTCGGTGTAATCACCAATCTGTGCAGGTAGATGCATTGTTACTTCAGACTGCAAAATGAGCGCCTTTTGACGGAGGCCTGCATCGTCGCGCAGTGCTGGTTCGTCTACTGATAGAAGCCGTTGTAGATTGACTCGTGCTTCATGCCAAGCTGGAAATAGTCACAAAAAACGTATTGCTTCATTCGGGTTCACTTCAGGTAATTAACATACAGTGCAAAAAACGTGAATACGAGTTGGACGAAAGAAACGTATAGTTACAATAATTTTCAATACAATACGAGCCTTTCTATAAGGAGCAGAAGTGTACGGCTTGAATATTTTCTTTTCGTATAATTATAGTTATGTAGAATTAATATCCTATGTGCCACAATCCCTATATATTATATTTTTAGACGTACAGAAGAACTTCCATCCAAGTAGGAAGTGCAATTGTAATACATGCAATGCCATCTCCCTTCATAATTTATTCCTCCCTAGCACTAAGTAAAATATGTTATACCTGGTCGACCCAATGCCATAAATTCGTTCAGCGACTCTCTGTGAAATACATGCAACTTTCCAGCGAGCTTGTCCACTTTGAACAGATGCGTAACTAAACCAACGTCAAGAACGTACTCTCCAATAGCTACGCCGATATGGCGATTTGCTTTTTCCCCACGAGAAAACACGCCATACGGAAGGTTCTCCAGTGGGAAGTCACTCTCGTTAGGCACTTGTACGAAACTCATATTTTCAGTGATGTCGATCGGATTTCAATATACACAAAAAACGTATGACTTCCTTTCCGAACGAATGCAGTTTTACAACGATAGCAGTGGAACAAAGACACTATCGGACTATTTTAATAGAACCGCTTTTAAGTGTGGCCGAGCAAACTGTTGCCTGGTCGTTATTTAGAGTCAGCCGTGAAGCTTTTTTCACTCATCAGCGCTAAATTTTGCCCAATAGAGAAAGGATCGAATGATGCGGCCGCAGTATGTTGTTTTGAGCGATAGGCGCTTGGATAAACGCAGACACACGCACGGGTGTTAACGACGCATGCGCCACCACCAGCATTTGCGGTGTAAAAACTCGCACAGTGTATCGAGCGCAGAGGGCAATAGCAGCAGTAGCACTGATAAGTTTAAAACCGATTCCGTAAGCAATTTGAGATGGCTACGAGTGTCTGGCGTATTTGCCTTGTTGTCTAGAAATTGTTGCACGGTTTGAAGGATAGCACAGTGAATAAAAAAGGTAGAGAAGCATAATTACATACAGCGGAACTCACCGTCCATATATCCGCTATACTTTCGAAACCTACCGGAATGGGTTCAAAAAAGACACCCTATTGGATATAAAGACACAAAGGTCCCAATTGCCAGTTTCCGTTTAGACAGCAACCTCTTCCAGTGTGCTAAAGGCAGCTCCAAGCGATCGGCGATTTCATCTAGATATTTGAAGATTAAAACAATCGCGCAAAAGCGGAAACTAGAACAGCAGCTCTCTTCTTTGGCAAAGGCTGAGTAAATCGTGAGGACAACTATTCAGAGCGATGCTAGCACGGCTTTGCCCCAAGCTCAACCAGGGGTTATTTCTAGGCCTTTTTTTGAAAATTGCAATGAATTAACTTTATGTAATATTTATACTACATCATACATGAACGAAATGACAACACACCTTCGATGATGTGCGCCAGCTATACCATTTTGTAAATTCCGTCTATGCAAATCTTGGTATAGATTTAAATAAATATAAATACAAATAAAAATATCGATATCCCAATTATCTGTGACATATCTAACAGCATATATATATTTATATATGAACCGTAGTTAAGTTTGTGATGCAAGACCTAAAAAATTTATTATTGAGAGGGTCCAGTAGGCTAAGGCGCTTCGCTTGTTGAAATTTGCAGCCTAATAACAGCGTCAAAGGATAGGGCACACAACCAATGATTTTCGCTCGGCTCTTAGACAGATACTATCCACGCAATATGGAGTTTTTTTTTACCGCAGCCAGCATCTGCAGCCGCCCGTGTATCGTGTACGACAGGCGCTGTGTAGAAAAACCATTATTCGTCTCCTTATAATTGATTAAAATCAAAAGTATACCCTCTTTTCGGCTCAGGTACGTATGGTAAATAAATAAAAGGTAGTCGAGCTTCTCTTCAGCTTATTGTACATGTTAGAAATTGAACGAGGTTTCACTTTTGTTACCTCTCTAATTGAACATTAGTCATTTGGCAAATTACAGCGTCATTCCTCCGAAGTACTAGCATACTTCTCAATCCAACATGCAACTGTGTGGAACGTGTAGAAATACTATATATATTGACATTTATCCTCTTCTACAAGCATTTAAGTGATTCCTTCATAGTACAGTAAACGACCCCGATCTTTGGGCCATAATTGTTAAGAATATTTTTTGTGTCACGCGGTCATGATGCTGTTAGTGAAGGAAAGCGCAATGGAAATGACACAATGGTATCCTGTTTAATGAATTTCGAAAATGACGCTTTGAAGTAATTTCGCTTATTCGATTCATATTTTAGTTTTTTTGGGGGGTTATAATTGACTACACACGCTCCTTTCGCAATAGTGCTGTAACTAGGGGTCAACTTTTCTTTATCATAATGAAGGGCAGTAGGGCCATTTTCGGTCTTCCTCTTGCCAACGAGCAGACACTGAATTTAATTTGCAGCCTATTGCCCAAAGTGGACCAATTTAAAGTAGTACCTTAAAAGGCATACAGCGGAAATAGTGTACAATGCCGTAAAATAAAGTCCTTTCTCAATCTAGCTTACCAAAAAAAATAAAAAAGCGGCTCCAAGCTTACTGAGACTGCCATTTCTTTCCAGTATTTCTTATGACGCTTAAATACGATTTAAATTTACAAATTAGCGCAGTAAATAAATAATAAAAGCGCGTAAATAAAACACTCTTATTTCTTACGGCAAAACTTCCCTAGAACCTTCGGACGCCTTCGATGGTTCAAGAATGCAGTTTTAAAATGTAATGTGATGGTTTGGTATGTTTGCCTATTGCCTACCATGGCATGCCTTGAATTGGAGCTGCTGGCAAAGGTTTTCTATGATGCAAACATAGGGTTCTTTAATAAAACGGCGGAATGGATAGAAACGTATAGGATCGCTTAATATATTGTATAAGCTAATGGAATTATCAGATTATTGGTCGTTCAACTATGATCTTTTTCATTACTTGCTAACGAAACGCGTTTTCGAACCCGATTACACACCGCCGATATAATAAGCATTTGACTTTGGAGAGTCCACTCTGAACTCGCCATCCAAACACCAGACCTATACAATACAATGTTCCTAATTTTATGTTATTTAGCGCCTTAATTAGTAATTTTATATTTGCCTTTTTAATGTGGTCGATTTATTACTTCTGGGTATCCTAATGTTAAAAGTTTGGCGTTAATCTTTCCTAGCTCAGTACTTTGACAGATTGAAACGGCTCTTCCTAATTTAATGTGGAGAATTTAAATAAGTTTATAATGAATATGTAATAGAACAAGTAACTATACTTCCGTAATCACACTATATGTGCACCGCACCACCGAGAACGTGTGTCAGCGTCAGGTAAGAGGACAGCTCCGTGGCTTAGCTAATAGCACTCTGTAAGCTTATGTGAGCAGCGGTTGATTTGCCGATCCTACGGTAAAAAGACACCTTCAACCGATTTCGTATGGAAAGACATTTTTTTGTGACTGAGTACTATCTGTATAATAATATAAGCTGTTGTTTGTTGGAAGTTCCCTAGTGGAGACCAAGTACTACAGTCGTATTCTAAAAATCTCTACTGTCATAACTTCCTGTATCACACTGTAGAAGTCCAAATTTCGAAATTGAATTAAACGTGTATAGTTGGCGTGAATCTGCAGCGTTTATTTTGACAAAGAAAAGGTGTCCAGTGCATATTGGCTATTCAAGAAGCATAACACAACGATATCGCCGTAAAGCGACAAAATCAAATTCATGAAAAATAGTTAATTGTTTTTGCGCGAAATCTGAGGAGATAATAATGATCGATAAAGTTATAATTTATATATATATATATATATATATATATATATATATATAGATCATCATTATCATTATCACCAATGACATCAATATAATCGCTGATAAGGGAAATACTATTCAAAAAGATATATGTAAATGATTCTGAATTCTATTCCACCAACCACGATATAGACAAAAGTACTAAAACGTTATAACCACAAAGTGCCATAGTGTTGCAGTGTTTAAGAAATACTCCAGAGCAGCCATTAATTATGCCTTAAAATACTATATCCTCGACATGTCCTCAGAGCTTCCCAATAAGACGAAAAAAAATAAATGTAATAACAGGTGAAAGCAACCGCTTGGGACTGTGACTTTCAAAAGTATCTACAACAACTTGTTATAGCTTTAGTAAACCCACTAGTGGTGTTTTTCTATGTTTCCATTCTCTACTCGCCCTGTTTCTTCTCATTTCTCATCTTCTAGCTGATTTATTGATTTTTTCCTATTGACTTTTTATGTACATTTATACTTCTCTTGTAATGAATGTGACTCTCGCAATTCTCGTCTTAGACAGACTCTTTGACGAGTTCTGCAATTCGATAAGTTTTTTATTTATTCTCTATTATTATTGTTCGACTCTTGTTTCTCTTTTCTCCAACCTTGAAGATCTGTGTTCATTTTAGCTCAACTTCGATTTAATTTTTTCTTCGTTAGTGTCTTTATTAGCAGTACTCCACACTTAAAGATCAAGTCACGCTACTCCCAAAAATGGGTTCCTCACCTCAAGACGCCTGATTGTCAGAAAACAGGGAGCGATGTCTTCAGGATCGTCCTTGAATACACGGTCAACGTCGCCGATGATTATGTGGGGCCAAATACTGATTGTAGTATCTGGCCTGACTTTTTTGGAAGACGAACTATTCGTTGCTTTTTTCACGCTTATCCACCATTCACCCTTATCCTCCGCCATTGAAGTGTATACCTCCTATTCCAGAAGGTGGCGCTAATTCTAGAACAAGAACGCCAATGCTGTCGCACGCAGCTAAATCGCGGAAAAATGTTTGCACTTTTTAGTTCTTCACTCTTACCTTTATTAAGGTAATATTATTATTACATTTCTACAAAAGTGAAGAGGTTCCAATTGATAATAATAGTAATCTTTATAATGCAGATAAGACAGGTAAGGATGAAGAGCACACGGAACTTGCCAAGTTGCTACGAAACATCTATTTATGGTTTATTTATTATGGTATTTATGGTATTGAATTTTGATAGCAGAGCAATTAAATGTTTCGAGACAATTAAGTCGAAAATACAAAAAAAAATGGATCCTGACATGAATTAGAGATAAACGTAATATTTCTTTCGCGTTAAATTAAATTTATACCTCCTGAAAACTTTCGTAAAAAAATGCTGCTCAGCGTCAGATTTACTAATTTGTAATGTCGGTTTAGCTCCTGCTAATAATATGTTAATAAAGAAATAACCAATAATGTCAGACATTTTGGTTTTTGACTGTCAGAGTATGCACCAAATTTGTGTAGGCGGACGAAAAATTGCTCTTTGACAATTTAGCTTATCAGCAGCATGCAATGTACATCACGAAACGATGTTAGAAACTAAAGTCGGGACAAAAATATATAAGTAGTATTGATATTAACAGATGACCTTAGAGATGTAATCAATTGGGAAATTGATGAACCTGTACTTGTTGATTGATTGTTTTTGCACTTAAGATCGCCATCGATCATTCTTCTATTGACTTCGACTGTTCTGAACAGCCGCTTCGGCAAGCAGTGAAGACCTACGGAACGAAGCAGACTTTCTCCGTAAGCCAACATCACAGTTAGTTTTCTTAGTGCTTCCAATAATGATAAAATAATAGGAAAATAATATGATCAAAGATGAGGGACAGCATAAGGAACATAACAGCTGGCTTCAAAACGCGTTCCACATCGTGCTCGAATACAATAAATGACAGTAAAATATCAAATAATTTGAAATGATGACATCGTCGCAATAATAGAACAAACGGATCACAGTTAGTCTCCAGTTTGCCTGCTGCAAACGTGTTTTTATTTGCTTTCGTCATTAATCCCTCCACTTGTTGTCTCAACTATTCATCCGATCCCCATGCTTACCCCTCATGGTACCACAACCAAATCAAAAGACACTATAAAAAAGTCTAACCTACGACTTTGTTGCCGGAGAAACCCTAGATGAGTTCAGCAAAACCGGGCCCGGATTGTTTCTAGTGGGGCAAGTCCTCGATGCTACAAGCATTAACGCAATGAAAAGAGCCGTAGGCAGTAGGATAAAAATACACGACTCCAAGTTGCAGCCAGTTCGTAGTAATTGCATTGATGTTTTGTTTTCACCATCATATAATGACTAATGGTGTGAGCCAATTGATCATGACAATACTTGGATTATAAAAGCTGTTCAAAATAAAAGTCTTTGTAACGAGCTTGTCGACTTTGAGCTTCACATAACGTTTCTTCCTGCCGTATCAACATTCCTAGTCGATTTTTGTCGTTTTTTGATCTGGTTGGCTGGGGTACCGCTTCTGTCTATACATACTCATGCTTACATTTTCATT